TCTCCTGCCTCTCTTAAGTTTCCCCTTGGCTATTGCTATCCCATGTGGCCTCAAGGGCGTTGTCCACGTTGTCAACACCTCAGTCAACAGGTGAACTGGGAGTTGGGTACCACACCCTGACTCTTGGGGAGGTAGAGAGTCCACTCTCGCAGGTGAGGGGCTTGGGGCTTGTCCCACACAGGAGATATAGATAAGAGATATATAAAATTAGGCATGGTATTAGGAGATGTATTAGAAGCAACCTTTTTCTTTCTCTCAAAGTATTAGAACTGGGGACATCCACTGAAGCATCATGGCAGTCTGAGACAGATACAAGGAAGGTTTTCTTTACACAGTATGAAATGTGGAACTCACTGTCACAAGATGCTAACATGGTTGGGTCTAAAAGGGGATTAGATTAACTCATGTCTGGTAGGATAGCTCAGTCAGTTGGAGTATCTGGCTGTAGAGCTATTATATTTGTGTGCGATCGTCTGTCAATCCTTGTGCTTCCTTGGAGAAGAGACCGTCTCTACAGCTTGGGGCAGGCTACATGGATCCCGAAGGAGTGACTGATAAACTGCTTCTGAGTAGTCTTTACCTAGTCAACTGAGCCCTGTAAGCACAGTGGTTAGACTGCGGTACTGCAGTCAAGCCTCCACTTACAACCTGAGATTGATCCCGGTGGATTCAGGTAGCCGGTTCAAGGTTGATTAGCCTTCCATCCTTGTGGAATTGGTAAAATGAGTACCCAGCTTCCTAGAGGGGCAAAGTGTTGTTTGTATAATTATGTTGTAAACTACCCAGTGAGCGCTTTAGCAATATGGGGTGATACATAAATTGAAACAACAAACAATATTCTGGGAAAAGTTGCCATGGGTCCAAATGGCCTTGAGAGCATGTAGATAAATCCATGGAAGATTGGCCCTCACTGATTATCACTTCAAGCATTAGAGGCCGTGTGCTTCTCAGTTCCCAGCAAACACGTGATAACACCTTGCTAGTGAGCTTCCCAGGGCCTATTGTCCATGTGAGGAGAAAAGCCGGACAAGGTAGGCCTCTGCTATGATCTAGCCGACCTCTTGAGTTCTCAGTCTTGTTCCTTTTTTGGAATTTGTGGGATCTGCAGCAAAATATTGCTCTGTGGGAGGCTCTACCCTCTGTTTCTCTTCTCCACTAGTTCTTCCACCCTCAAACAGCCAGGCAGCAATTTCTGCCCACTGAAGACATTTTGTCCTCATTAGACCTTTTCCTTTACTTCTTTCCTTTTTTCCAGTCCCTGGGGCTTGTCCTTGAACTTTTGGCTACTTCCCCTTATGAGCAAAGGGTGACATTTGGGATACGTAAGGACTAGAGATGGGCGTGAACTGGTTTGTCCCGGTTTGTAAAGGCGGCAGCACAGGAGCTGCTCCTCCCTTCCTCTACCTCCTCAGCCAATCAGCCCCTCACCAGGCCCAGCTTCTTTGCTTTTTCCACCTCCTTGGCTGATCTCCCAGTCATGAGCAGGAGCACAGACTTCTCTGCCCCGCCCTTTTCTCTGATTGGGAGATCAGCCAGGAGGGCGGGGCAGAGAAGCCTTAGCGGTTGCCAGGAGTGGAAGATCAGTTGAGGAGGTGCCTGAGGCTGGCATGTCAGGCCTGGGGCACGGCTGATTGAACCAGAGGAGGCAGAGAAGGGGAGCAGCAATACCTGTGCTGCTGTCTTTATGAACCAGGACAAACGTGGACAAACCAGTTCAAGCCCATTTCTAGTAAGGACTGGTGTTGACAGATCAGTATTAGTATTTGATAAAACAATCATTCTTTAATTTTCCTTTTCAATATTAACACAAATTCAAATATTTAATAATGAATATTATATATCATATAATGAATATTGAACATCTCACCTCTTACACTTTCGTCTGGACAGCAGGTAAGGTGGTCGTAGATAAAAACAGAAGTTGCGACAAAGACATTCACAATAACCTTCTCGGTTGTGGCACCATTCCTATGGAATGGTCTCCTGGTGGTGTTGCACCTGCCCCCCCGCCTTTAAGATAATGTTAAAAACTAGACTGTATGTATGTATGGATGCATGCATCCATCCCCTTCAAGCCTTTTCTTCCACAAAGTTATTTCAAGGTCTCCAGCAAGCTTTGGAAAACAAAGGGAGAAAAAAGAGCTAGAATTCTACTAAGTGTCCCTGATCCAAGGGTGAGTCCGGGGAATGTCATTTGAACTGCTGCTTTTGTGGTGCAAAGAGAGGGGAAGAGATTCCCAGTGGCAGGTGGTCCCAGCTGAGCCAATGGAGCTGGCATTGCTGTGGGCATATGGAATGACTGTTAATGGAGGCACTTCCAAGGACACAAAAGCCAACTACTCCATAGCATGAGGTTTCTAACATTTTTAATTTTTGTTAAGTTTTACAAGATTTTAAAATATATTGATGGCAACATGGAAAATACTGGGGAGAAAAAACTGATTCAAAAACTCATTTGTATCAGGGCAAGAGAGAAGTGATGGCTTGTATAAGCAAAATTTCAAAAAATAGCATGCCCTGGGGTTTAAATAGGACATGTAATACCCACTTACTCCATAAGGCACTGAAGTAGATTTAAAATGCAGGATAAATTACAACTGAACTGAGTGTGGATCCTCTTATCATAATAGAATAATGGAGTTGGAAGGGGCCTATAAGGCCATCGAGTCCAACCCCCTACTCAGTGCAGGAATCCAAATCAAAGATGATCTGATAAACAGTGGTCTAGTTTTCTATTGAATGTCTCCAGCAATGGAACACTCAAGGTTATTTCATTTTAAAAGGTAAACTAATCTGATTTGAAATTAATGACTTAAGTATTTGCAGCTGGTATTATGGACACATTTATACGGGGGGGGGGAGAATCCAGAGTGAAATGAAGCATGGATTATGAGAAGGAAGTGAAATATGAAACAGAACTGACATTCACACACAATTCTGTTTAGGCAAAACATAATTCTGGGATAGATGGTAATTCCAGAGATACAATCTTGTTTTTCACCTGTTCTTTAAAGTGCACTGAAAAGGAGAAATGGAAACATTAAACTATTTTAATTTCTATTCCTCCTTTCTTCAAAGAACCTAAGAGACTGCACACAATTCTCTCCCATGTAATGGCCAGGATCAAGGTGAATATTGATGCTTTTATAAATGCAATAGTATAACTCAGAAAGGCAAAGAGCTGCTAATTAGTGAGTCCTTAATTGAATTTCTAGTAGGGTGTCCTTCCTGTGAGCCTAGGAATTAGATGAGGGACTTGTTATATAGAGGCTATTCAGTGTTCCAAATATGCTACTTGGATTCTGGCCATCTTCTTACAATGTGCATGTGAGTTTGCTTAGCCTGAGAGATGGGTGATCTTGGTGGAACTCTAATGAACTCTGTGGCTCAATGGAAGACTAGTGGGGTTGCCTTACATTTCTTCCACATATTCTTTGTTAACTATGCCTCGTCTTTTGTTGTCTCCCAAAGTCTGGACTGCTCCCACCATCTTTTAAGTGGAACCAAACATTCTGGCAAAGTCAAATATCAACTTTGCAAACAGCCATACTGCAATAAATTGGATTGGCTCAAGGAAGGAGGCAATGTTGAACGAGAAAAAAATGAGTATTGAACAGCAGATGGTGGCTCCCTTAAGAAGGACTCCTTTTCCTGTTGGACTTTGTGATTTCTGTTCTTTCAATCCAGCACAAAATGCTGTGTCTTTTGTCTGAACATCCCAAGCCTCTAACAATTTATTAAGACACTTGTTTTGTTCTGCTGGCCAGAATATATTCCACTTTAGAAAGCAGGCCTTCTTTCCTGTTTTACTCTGTGCTGTTCTGTGCTCCAAAACTTTTTTTTGGGTAAAGACAATTCTCCTGTCCTTGGCATATTAAATCAGAATAAGCAAAAAAGAGTTCAAAGGGGCCTATAAAGCCATTGAGTCCACCCCCCCTGCTAAATGCAGAAATCCAAATCAAAGCAGATCTGACAGATGGTTGTCTTAATATTCTCTTGAATGCCTCCAGTGCTGGAACGCTCACCACCTTCCCCAGTAATTGGCTAAATTGTTGTATTGATCTAGCAGTTAAGACGTTTTTCCTGGTATTCAGCCTAAATCTGATTTTCTGTAACTTGAGCCCATTATTATGTGTCCTGCACTCTGGGATGATCAGGAACAGGCCTTGGTAGACAATAAAACCTTCCAAGGATTTAACATTGGGTGCAGGCAAGTGTTTTCAGAGGACAATTAGTATTTGCAGTCCTCAAACACCTCTATTATAGGAAATGGCAGGCGGAGGGAAAAAAATGAAGGTTTAAATTATCTTTGGTTATTATAGGAAATGACAGGCAGAGGAGAAAAAAATGAAGGTTTAAATTATCTTTGGAAGCATACTATGGGTAGCTGTTGTACAGCATATACTTCTGACAACATCCTGCAGCAGTTCTAATTCATGTAAAAATGTGAACCCAAAGTAATGAAGAAATCAGGAGTGTATCCAGATAGCTGTAGCAGTGGGGGACAGGAAAGGACCTCCACAAAAAATATGAGGACTGTGAACACATTTGGGTGTTCCTTAAGCAACGACAGCACCCTGTTGGCTGATCTGTTCACTCTGAAAGCCCCACCGGATTGCTTCTGATGTGAACAAAGTAGCAGTAGTTGCAGGAGCTTAATATTACTAATTGCTAACTATGTGCATGGTGAGTTACTTGGGATTTTCTGCTAGAGAGCTTCAATGTTGTAATTCATGTGTGTGCGTGCGCAGACTCGTGAGCATGAACGAGACCTCTCTCACAGAGAAGATTACATACCATGTCAGGCTACTAGCCACAGGATTTTGTAGGATTCAGCCATGGAGGTCACAGTGGTATCAAAGTGCTGTAACAGTGTAACGTGTGGTAAAGGCCGGCTGGAATGATGCCTTCTGTTATACACTTGTTTGAACTTTATGAAAGTTAAAAAAAAGTCCTTTGCCAGGTTATTTTTCCGTCTAGGAGGAAACAACATCCATGCATTTAAGAACATCAACATTTATTTATAACATGATATAAAAGAATGAGATATGAACATTTTGTATTTGAACAATAGTAAGTGGCTTCTTATACTTACATTGGTTGTGCTCATTGTATAGTATATACACAATGAACATAATTACATTTGTACACAAACTTAACTGAAAACTGAAGACCTGCTTATTGCTGTACACACCCTATTCCAACAGAGGAAGAACTCAGTACCTCAAGAACCCTAAACCTTCATTAAAAAAAAGCTAGAGAAAAGTAAACACTAACATTCCTGTATTTGTTGACAACAGTATGGCAGTAACTGACGTTGCAACTTGACTGAGAAATAATTACAGAGCAGGAATAGGGCACACCTTAACTCAGCATGAATTTTTAAAAATGGCACATTTTAAATAGGGAGTGAACATTTACAAATGAAAAAGTGAAAACAATACATGATCCTTTTTAAAAAGCAGAAATGAGGTCCAAAGGGTGGTTTGTAAAAGTAAACCAACACAGAAAGCTAAAAAGAACTTAACTGAAGTCATAATTAAAAACCACACACCAGGGGAAGCCCACTAGTGAAGGTTCTGATTGTAGGCCGCACATGAAAAACGAACATTTAGCTATGTGGATGGTATTCACAGCAGCAGGTTGGTGTCAGAAGAACAACCTCCAACTTATCGAGGGTACCATGGGGTATTTAAAGCTCTCTTGGAATAAACATTTTCCATGAAGTGATAAAGATGCTGCTCTATTATGGCCCAAAGCATCAAAACTACAACTTTCATAGATTTCATAAAATCCGACTGTACAAGGTCTTCGAATTTTCATCGGTCCATTCTGTAAGTCAGCCGTGAATGGTTTCTGCAGAAGCTGGGAGAGCTGCAAAAAAAGAGAAAAGGAGGTCTCTGTTTATTCTCAGGCCAACCACTAGAAAAGAAACATCCTTCTCTGTAGCTGGACAGAGGTCAGAACATGGACCCTGGGCAAATTCTGATCCCCAGACACAGCAGGTTAAGCAGCAAACAGCACCGAGGGAAACAAGAGAACTTTCTGCAGTTAGTTATAGGGAAAGCACTGCATGAAAAGTGATGTATCTGACAAGTTGTAATTTAGGGTTAGCATTACACAAAGTGACAAAAAATGCACCAGAAATTAGAGACTTCGAACCAAATGATACAGCCAAGCTACGAGTCATTCAAAGAAGGCTTAAAATCACTCTGAAGTTAAGCATGTTCCAGAAGAGAACCAGAAAACAGGGAGTCACTACAACAAAGTTAGGGAGTCCTCGGGTACATGTATGAGGTTCTACTGTTCTGGGGCAAATTTTCTTAATTCGTTGTCACCCATCAGCGCTGGCCACTGTCCCTCCTGGTTGGGGGAAGGATGAGAGCCATAGGCTAAAACATTTGGAAAGGACTCTGGAGAGGTAGCTCAGTGGTAAAGTCTGTGGTTTCCACGCAGAAGGTCCCACCTTCAGTTAAAAGGGTCAGGAAACAAATGAGGTGGAAAATCACTCCCAGAGACTGTTGAGTACTTTGCTGCTGTTCTTAAGTGTAGAACGTGGAGGCAGATGGACAAAGGACAGCTCCGTCTTACTCCAAGGGCATTGGGACATTCCAAATTTTCCCTGGACAAAAACTGGCCCATTTTTGAGAGGGCAGAAATAACATCAAGTCACATGAAAGCATTGTTTGCTTTGTTTTATCTAATGATTTCATTGTGGTTTTCGTCACAGTTGATTCAATTTTATTATGCTATGAACTGCCCAAAATAGTGCTCTGCACTAATGGGGTGGTATATATATTAAATGAAATGAAATAAGTAAATCAATAATTATGACATCCTGGGTCTGTGTCAGAAGCCCTTGCTTTCTATTTCTTTTGTTGGTTTATTTTCAAACAGAAGTGGGACTCTTTGGTGCAACTAAATTTGTATTCAGAAGCACTGATTTGGCGCTATGCATACTGAATCAAACCTGCTGTTGTTGAATTTCCTCTTGATGTCTGTGCTGGCATCTCGAAAGAAGAAAGCAAATCTTCCTGCTGTTCTTGAAAGCTGGTGTCTTCACTTTCTTCTGTACTGCTCTCAGGTTTGTGGTTTTCTACTGGGGCCTCATCCTTCAAGCTGAAGGGAAATAACTATATTTAGCATTTCCTCTAACTTCTAATTAGGTTAACTAATATGGTATAGCACCTCAATAAAGGTCTATAATACAAAATTACAAACTGTGATGTATATAGTACTATGTTAGTGTAACTGAATCTTGAAACACATGCTTTTCAAGGAAGGAAAACAGAGAAACAGAAATCGCTTTCTGCTTAGCATTTTTATGTTGGAAAGATACTAAAGAGTCCAAAAAAAAATCAGCTTAGATGTTTTCCCCTGAGTAACTATCCTGATCATAATGAAAGCAGAGTATATAAAGGGAGATCAAGGAAAACTAATTCATGTCAAATAATGCCTAGCATGTATTCTACTTTTTCCATTCACAGAAGGAGAAGTGCGAATTAACACTATAGGCAAATAATTCATTTTTAATTTGCAAAACTATGTACTGTTTCCCCAGTGCTCTAGATCCCCCAAAACAATCTCATTATATAACAACACTCAAAACACATTTGAAACTAACTGGGGCACCACCCAATAGCAAATAAATCACAGGTCATACTGGAAAAACTGCAAAAGCAGGCAAGCCCTGAACGATTAAGCAAATGCTTGATAAAGTTCTACAGAAGATAAAGCTGATTCTTAATGTCAATGAAACCACTTTAATTTCTCAAAAGAAAACACTGTATCTAACTGTGTAGTTTCTAAGTCAGGAAACAAATGAAAAAATTATACTCAATGAAAAGTAACTAATGACTGACATACAATGTACTCGTACTTCAGGCTGGTCTGTTATTTGTAGTAGCTGTTTTTCAAGTATTAAAAACATATGCTGAGAAAACAAGAGCCTGGGTCTAAAGGAGGTCAGGAGAACTGATGGTTCTCAGATTAGGAAATACAGAATCTATTTCAGATCAGCTGCAGGTTTTACTTCAAATCCTAAGCACCTGCTGCTACTAATACGCTAGGTTTACTTTACCTGCTGTCAGCATCCTGTGCTCTTCCCACTTCTATGGGTGTTGTGTGTTGAAAATTCTCCTTCTTTGGGTCTAGCACATCTGGCGACAGTGGGCTTTCACTGTTTGGCAACTGGAAGTTGAATGAAAAATTTTGCAAATTGGAATTATATGTAATACTGAGTGGGAGAAGAAAGCAGACAGAAATATGTTTACAAAATTATACTGATTTTACAGTTACCAAGCATCAATATCTCAATTCACTGTCATTTAGGTCCATGTCATTCTGAAGTTAGGATTAAACCCATGAGCCCAGATAATTTCAGAGAAACCCAAAGAAAGATGACATCAAAAGGGCAAAACCAGGCATGTTTTCATCCAGCATGTTTTGGGGAAAAACATCATAATCAGCAGCCCACATACATGTGCACAGTCTGTACAGTAAATATAGTGCCCATGTCAAACATATTTTTACTCACTGGAACATCACTCTCCATCTTTTTATGTTTAATTTTGGGCATTTGAATGTTGTTATTTCTAACAGGAAAAGAGATGCTCCAGCTCAGCTCTAGAAGGTTCCAAGTTGTTCTGTGCATGTGCAAATAGCCCATGGGTATGTGTTCACAGAGACCAGAAGCAAGAAGTAATAATGCTGCAGGTGGTGTCTGTGTGCTTTGTTCAGTATTTTCGGACTCTTATCTCTCAAAGCTTATGCTAAAGATTTCTCATACTAAAGAGAAAGAAATACCTGTGTAATAAAATCAGAGTTATATTCATTTGCTTGATCGTTTTCTTCCAGCCATGGTGTCTCTTCTGAACAATTCTGATGGCTTTGGCCCAAATCATTTACTCTGACATACTCTAATTCTTTAGGAATGCACACAAAATCGTCCTTCCTTTGGTTCTGCAAGAAGAAGAAATATCTACTGTGAACAAAGAACTCAACGGACAGTGCAGTTTCGAAGACAACTGCTAGTTAACGCAGAACTACACGTTACAGATGTCATTGTGCAATAAAATCAAGCAAAACACATAGGTTACATAGAATAATGAGTGCAACAGCTCAACGGAAAATTCACTCAGTGCTCAGTAGAAGCCTTTATTAACTTCCAGGAGCCCAAATAAAGGGTGGGGTGGGGTTCAAGGCAAACACTACATTCCCTCCAAAAATTTAGAAAAAAGTGATACGCTAAAAATACTTGTGTTCATTCCTTCAAAGGGGAAAGAAAAGCTGGTGGAGATGGTAGTTTACATTCTCTCCGATCACAATGATTTCTTTAAAAATATGATGACACAGTGCTTTCCAAGGTACTGAGTTCCACTTAAGATCATTAGTGTTTCCAGTAGAAGCCAATGTTCCCCCTATTTCTACTGAAAGATCCACCAATTCTGGAGTCAGAGAAACCCCTGTTACAAGTTCTGTTTCCATGTCTTTAGACAACCCCACTGGCTCAGTTCCACAGACACTTCATTGATCTGAAATCAGTCCTCAGCCACCACCTCTGCTTGATCCAGCTTCAGTCTAGCACAATTTGTCTCTTTCTGGAAGAACCCAAACATGTGGTATACCTGGGAGAGCTTAAAAGGATTGTCAATGGCAAGGGATGGGCTTTGTGAAGGGGACAGATCTGAGACACCAAGGATGTTTAGTCCTCTCTTCTTCTCGCGCAGACAAGCCTGCTGGTGTCTCTTTATTCTTTCCATCTGCTCCTCCACAGTCATTCGGGGGCGAGTACTTTCTGCCAAGCATAGCTGTTCCACTGCACTTCTTGGCCTTTCCTTGAAAAGAAAGAAAATGTATTATTAAAAAATCATGTGCAAAAAGGGAACACTGTTTCAGGGACACATGCATACTTTGCTATTTCATAATTAGATGCTTCCACAGCTTAGACGCTGCTGCGACTAGAAGCAATAAGGCTAACCACATAGTGTGCAAGGATATAAAGTAAATGTCACAAAAGACTTTCTTCTATGTAATACATGGAACGGTGAGAAACACCATTAACATCAGTGCTGCTGTTCACAGTGTGTCACAAAAATACAACCAATACCCTTGCAGAAATAAAACTTGATCACTCAAATAATACTGATCTGACCGTCAAATTAGATCTCCAGTAATGTACAAAGTGGGATGCACTGATGTCACAGAAGCATTATACATTATTTTGGTCGTTCTCTCTTTCCTATCAGCTGCAATCCTCTTATGAGACATTCTGTTCAACCTCTCAGGTACAGAATTGTACCAGTGTAGAAATGGCAACTGAGCTGCTGTTAATACTGTTAGGCTGTGTGGATGGCTGTTGTGCTTCTTAAAAGATGAAACTGCTTTTTGATATTCCATGGTGGGTCAGGTACATTTTTAATATAGGGCCTGAATGACAGACAAATGTACGATGCACAGGCAATGAAGAGCTGAGGATTATCCATAGGTGATTAGGTGCTCATTGCACGTTTTCAGACATAAAATTAAAAATACGAAAACAAATGGTCACTATAAAAAATACAGAATATTCTTTGACTAGTGGTGGATAACTGGGAAGTGAATCTTTTAAAAAACTGCATTAAGGTCTGCTAGGAATGGATTCAGCAGGGGGAGGATTTTTTTCTCTCCCCAACCTGGAAAAATTTACACTGGAAATTTCAGGGAGCAAAGAAGAAAAAATTCTTAAGTGAGCATTTTCTCTTTGAGAATTAGGGAAACATCCTAATATATATATTGTTCAAAACTGTGCCTATAAACAATTTTAATTTCATTTTTGTTGACCCATAGGGCACCAGGACAGTCCCAGGGCAGAAACCAATGGCTCTCCAAATTTACCAAAGTTGGCCACCCATTTTACTCTGTCAAAATGCCACACTCCACACAGAATGGAGGTTTTTCTTTTAAATAAAATAATCCGCAGAATAAAAAAGCACCATGAAAGCTTGTGTATAAAATAACCCACGGAATTAGAGTGTTCATTGTTGATATATACATAATTGTATGTATATATCAACAATTGTTGTTTAGTCGTTAAGTCATGTCCGATCTTTTGTGACCCCATGGACCAGAGCATGCCAGGCCCTCCTGTCTTCCACTGCCTCCCAGAGTTAGGTCAAATTCATGTTGGTCACTTTGATGACCCTGTGCAACCATCTCATCCTCTGTCGTCCCCTTCTCCTCTTACCCTCACACTTTCCCAACATCAGGGTCTTTTCCAGGGAGTCTTCTCTTCTCATGAGATGGCCAAAGTATTGGGGCCTCAGCTTCAGGATCTGTCCTTCCAATATCAACAATATATACATACAATATACATATTGTATATTGTATGTATACAATTGTATATTGTATACATATATTGGGTTTATGTTGGTACATAAACCCAAGACAGATTTCTCTATCTAGTGGGTCCTGCCATCTTCTAAGGAAAATCATATGGGGTGGGGGCTCCATTGCTTGTGGGCTGCTCCTTCCCTTCTGTTGGATTAGAACCTTTTTTCTAATTTAGTGGAGACTTCAGAGTAGATGCAAGACCATTTTTGTCAAAATATGACACTTTCTTTTGTTCATTATAAAAATTCTAGCTTGTGTTTTCATCCTTTCCCCACTGCTTTGATGACACTAATTAAGATACATGTTAAAAAGTAACACTTGCTATGGCAGTCTTCTGTTCTCTGCTTATTATAAGGTATATTCAGTTTTGTTTGAACAAAATAAAGACTGCTTTTTTTAAAACTTCAAAATTATGTATGCAAATTAGTACAATCTGATATGCTAATTACATTAGGAGTGAAGCATCTTATGTTGCTACAGCAGTAAAATAGGCTCAAGTAAGAAATGGAAGTAAGTATTGCATATATTTCAGTTTCTTCCCAAAACTTCAGTTTTTAATGAAGGCTTCAACATGGCTGGAAATATTAGATCTCTTTTTAAGCCACATTCCTGCCATAATCACACTAAATGTTACGCCAATGTTAGACTTCTGTATGAGTTCCTTCTATCATCATTATCATAGACGTGCAGAGCTAGAAGGGACTCTATATATCATCAATCCAGCCCCTGGTCAAGGAGGCAGTGGGGAATTGAAATCCCAACCTCTGGCTCCGTAGCCAGATGCCTAAAACACTGAGCTATACAGCAGTTCATATACAGTGATAGTGCAGTAGATAGTTAAATTATGCCCAGTAATAAGACTAGCCACACTTTGCTGCTCTGAAATGATACCCTGAGATGATGATATGCCAAGTTGATAGAGCATGACAGGAAGGAACCCAGTTTAATAGTTTTAAATACCGTTCTTGGATCTATCTTTTTTGTTTTCCTTAAGGTCACATAAGAAGCTATCGTTGAAGACTCTGGAGTTGGTGACTTTGTTCTGGGAGGAACAACTCCAATGGGAAAATGTGAGCCTACAAAAGAACACAATGACATTAAAATATTACATAAAGGCCATAACACAGAACTGCAAATATAATTAATGTGAAAAAAAATTATTTTGTAGTCATCACTGTACATAACCAGGATTGTGTTATACATCCCACTAAAACATAACACAGCTACAAGTTAAAGCTAATTGATAAGGTATGATTCGAGATGAATGAGCCCTCTTTGTAAGTGCTGGTGCAAAATACCAGGGCTGCCTTTTCTGGATCCATATTCAAGCATGGATGCCAAGAAGCTTTAGTCACTGATCATTCTACTCTGATATGATTCATAATTTCTGTATCCCTTGCTTCCCTTATGACCTTGAACAAGGAGGTGTAACAGGAAGGACAGATGGCTGTAGACTCACTACAGCAATTTCTGAAATTGGAATAGTGACATGGATTAAATAAGGGCTATGCCACTACATTGGCTTCGGTTAGATGGATGACCTATAAAGCAACAGCATCCTCGTCCAAGCAGTCTGTGCACTTCATTTCTTCTTTCTTCCTTAAAGGGCATCAATGTTGTGTGATTTTGAACTTTTGAAGGCTAATGCTTGATTTAAAATTATACACTATGCCATGCTTTGCTTGGTAAGTAAGCCAAAACTTTTCTATTTTTCTTTTAAAGAAGTTGATTGATTTTTTGAGTAATACTTTCAAAATATTTGTTTAGAGGACACAACCTCCTTCTCTAAATAGCATCCTCCTAATCACCCCAATGCAACATGCATTTCAAAGGCTTTTTGTTTCATGAGTGGTTTGCCCCTGAGATTGAAGTGAGCTGCTTTATAAGAAACACAAGTCCCTCTTTCTCAAACACACAGGACTCTTTGTGAATTTCTGTAACTGTGGGCAGAGCTGAAATGAAGCCATTTAACTGGTTAATTCTGCCAATTAACTTGCTCCTTCCTATCTGATATACTGTATTTAATGGCTGAAATCCTATTGCTGCCTATTCTTAGTGCTACCATAGTCTTTCGAGACTGAAGGATGCCTAACTACCGTAAGTATTCTTAGTCATATTAGAGTAGGCCTACTGGAGATTTGAGGAGTCAACTCCTCCATGAGCAAGTCACAAAAGTGGGTCCACCTGAATCCATGGAATTTACAGAACAATTAACTTACCAAATCTTCACTGACTCAATGGGCCTACTCCAGCACGGCTTACTACACTAAACAACATTCATTCTATGTGCTAGCATTTTCCACAAGTGGTGGGTCTATATTACCTACGTATATCTCCAAAGTGAATGAAGAACCTAGAATGCAAGTAATTTTTCAGTGTTGCTTTCACACCCTTTATTTACACATTCAGTAAATGACACAACCAAAAAGGCAATTCTACCATGATCTATGTAAACCTGACAGAAGCACTGCCAACCTTTCTACAGAGGCAAGGATCACCAGAATTGTCCTGAAAAAAAAGTGTCAAGTCATATCTTCAGTTTGTGCAAACAACAAGCATAAATTGAGCCTTGGAAACCCTTAGCAACACAGACTTAAATTTTAATAGGATTCTTTAAAAAATGAACCCATCTTTTTCAATAAGGCCAAAGGACTTTTTGACTATAAACTATTAATGCCTAAAAAAATGCAGCTGTAGCATTCCTACAAGGTGCTTTCACACTAAGGACAATCTGAGGCAGAGAAGGAGGGACAACTCTCATTAACGATAATGACTGTATAATATAGCACCAATGGCTATAGTGCCAACAGAAGGCCTAGACTGGACACCTAAATAGACACCAAAGCTAGAAATAACTAAGGGCAATCGACTGTGGCTGTGGTCACACCAGCAAAATATCCCTCTGTGGTTCTGAAACTTTTAATCACGTTTCTCTCATGCTTTGAGGCCACATGGCATTTATTCCAGGATGTGCATCTCAATGTGTTTTTGGGTTACTGAGTCATTTCCTTCCAATTCAATAAGCTTTTAGAGCTTCTTTGTTGAGACTATTTGACAGATGACACATTGACACAAAAGTCAATGTGGGTGGGGGTATTCTAAATGCACCTGCATGGTAACAGTAGTTTAAAAAGGTTGTAACAAGATCATTCACACATGCAGAAACACAACTTTTTAAAAAGATCCACAACAAAAATGACTCGCTAATGGCCGCATGCCATGTGAATAAATAAATTGAATAAATAAATAAATAAAATGTGATCACAAATTTAAATTGCTAAATCAAAGGGGGAGAACTGGAAAAGATGTTGTTGGTGTGACTTTGGCTTGTCCAAGAAAAAGACTTTGTCTCTTGTAATGGTTGCTACAAAGACAGAATGGCTTGCTTCAATTTTAGCATGACTTTAGCATTTTTCTTACTAAACAGTACAGTGGTGCCTCGCTTGACGATTGCCTCGTGGGGGAAAAAAACCCTAAGACGATTGTTTTTTGCGATCACTATGGTGCATCACAAGGCTTTTTTTTTGAGACTGATGCTTCGCAAGACTTTTTTTTTTGAGACCGATGCATAGGGAACCTCGCAAGACAATTTTTTCACAAGACAATTTTCGCGGAACGAATTAAAATCATCCTGCGAGGCACCACTGTATTTGGTCAAGTACGTCTCCACTAAAGTACTTCTGTACCAGGTTGTATAACTCTAAAACTGGTTTCCCCAAGCACCGGTCTGTGGCCCAGTACTGGGCCATGGCAAGACCGGGTGGCAGAGGAAGATCTCCCACCCCTCTGCATGTACCCCCATGTACCCCACATGCACACATGGGTTGCCTGTCCACCCGCCCATGCACGGGTGCCCCACCCACCTACATGGGTGCCCTGCCCCCATGCACAGGTGCCCTTGGTTGCCTGTGCGCGGGTGCCCCACCCCCTGTGCTGAGACATACACACTCCGGCCCACACACTAAACTGGTCCGAGGTTTGGAAAAGGTTGGGGACCACTGCTCTAAATGCATTCTTCACATCTCTCTTCATCTGGTTTCCAAAATCATGTACAGAACTAACCGAGAAATGAGGATTTATTCTTTAGAATTAAATAGTCCTCGACATGCTTACCAAGAGAAAAACTTATTTTTTAGATCAAAGTGTCCTTATAAAACGCATCTAATAGAATTTCTTCACTCACTCACTTACCCGCTCACAGACACACACACACACACACAGAGGTTTTAAATTACAGCTCAATCAGCAATTAATCAGTGTCAAATAAATATACTATACATTTTCATAATGCCAGTACCTAAGTGCTTTACGAAACAGAAGCTAAACAAGGTTGCAGCTTGCAGACTTTAAAATTAATAAAGCAAAAGTGACATAATAAAGTTTAGGACATAAATGATTCAAGTATGTACTCTAGCATAAAAATTGCATTTGTCTAAAAGGCAGAGGCAATTTAACAATTACACCATTACACTTTTTTTTTTAAAAGACACAATTATTTTCCTGCCTTTTGACTATGATACTGGCTCCAAGGATGCTCCAGCAAAATAATGCAGCAGTCTGAATGAACAAAGGCAGGGTAAGTGTTCAAGGGCAAGGGAGAAAATGAGTCATTGTTTGAAGGAATGATGTGCACAGAAAATGACAGCATTGATTAGACACAGCGTCATTATGGATTTCAAGGCTGATTCTCAGTATCATCTGTGGTTTTTTGTTCTTTCTGTGACTGTCTGGAAGCTCTCTCCAGTCACAGAATTAAACTTAATTTTAGTGCACTGGTTGTTCCCTTTACAATAAGGAAGAGTTACCTTAATTTCTAAAACTGAAAAAAATTGGGCTGTCTCTCCATGATTACTGAGTTCCGCATTCTGCACTACTGGAAACAAAAACAAACCATTTTGTAGCCAAACAGGCTATTCACTAACCTTTGGTCGCAGAGGTTTCTGACTCAGAAAGTGGCTCCCCCTTTTCTTCCCCATTTGATTCATCAACTTCTGCCACAGTTGTTAACTCAGGTTCGCTTTTATAAAGCCGGTAATCTGGACCCTAAGAGTCAATCACAGCAAGGCACATATGCAGTCTTTGCAGTAGATGCATTGAAGCAGAATAACAAAACAGGTATTCATAATGTATGGCAAGTTTATTGCAACCTGAAGTGTTGCTTTATTTAAAGTGCTCAAGAATGCTCAGACTGCCTACTCTTTGTGTGGGCTTAGTTTATTCAATTTTATTTATTTAAAATATTTTTATCCTGCCTTTCTTAGGACTCAAGGCAACATTTAAAAGGACCCAAGGACCAACATTTAGTTCGACTGCATTTCTCATTTGAGCCACAAAGCTTCCTCTGAATGAAGGTCCGCAATGTTGGTGTTTGTTCTGAAAGTTAACATGGACATCCCATGGCCTTTCCTCATGATGTTCACAGCACTCAAACGTGTCTCAGATCACATAAGAAGAAAGACTCAAAAGTAAATGGTCTGGTGTTCAGATTTACAAATGACATAGCAACTATATGCCACAAGTTTGGACAGGCACTGATAAATCATCACCCTGAAACTATTCCCACAACTGTGTGAAAATGTCCGCGGATTTTCTTGGAAAAAATCTGGCAGTGATCTATTCTTAATCACAATCAAGTAACTCTGCAGAGCACAGTGTCAGGTACAATGCTGGCTCTGAATGAACGAATAAGAATAATATCATAAGATTGCTCCAGAGTATGCTCTTTAAAATCACCATCCTGCAACATTAGATGGCACACAGCAGAAAGTGATTCTCGACACTGGACCAGACGTAAGTCTGAATCTAACACAAAAGGCAAGCAGTCTGAGTCATTGTGAACTCTCACATTCACAGAATACTGATGGGAAAAAGCAGCAGCAAATACAGCAGCAGCAAAAATGTAGCAAGAAATAAAAGTTATGCAAGGGGGAGGAGAATGCTATGAAATAAAAATAACTGAATGTCAAAACAAGATGGCAATTGCACAGGAGGACGGATGGAAGGGGAAATGGTCGATAGCACTGTGGCTTTTGTGGCCACTTACACAGTGTGCTCCATTTCTTTGGTATCCTTGAACTTGGTGAATCTTCCTCTCGTCAGGTAGATGTACTGGGCCCCTGCTATAACAGAGCAAGGAGCTGCTATCACTGGGCAGAGGGGGGATTATGGGAGGATGCTCTGCAAAGTCATAGGACCGAGGGAGTGGAGGACGAGGTGGGACTACTTCCTCTTCCTAAAGATTGCAGAACAGTCACCTTATTTAGATGGGTTCATCTGTCGCAAGAGTTATAACTTCTTTTCAATATTTTAGAGCTGATATAGCACAGATTGCAGTTAAAGAGACCCTGCTGTACTGAGAAAGATAGAATTCTCTACTGTCATTAGTGCCTGCAGTGATCATAGACTCACAATTTATATGTACTGTCTCTGCCCCTACCCACTCAAAAAGACACATGCTTTAATCCCTACCTATCTCCAAACAAAGTTTCACTTATAATTTGGTCAACCTTCTGCATATATTTTTGCCGTCTTTTCTACATTTCTCGTACTGGTGTTTTACAATGAACATCAATGTTATCCTGTTGCTCTATTCTACCAGTTGCTAAAACATATAACTGTTTTCCTAAAAAGTCAGCTTCTATCCTTTATCTCTTGTCTCCCACATTTAGTTTACAGTATCCCTTCAAAACACAATTTCTTGATGTTATTACAGGTATTTTTTTATCTCAAACTGGTTTCAAACTGGAGTTTTGAGTGCCCATTCCTTGTATGACTGCAGTTTCGGATAAAAGGAAAATCAGAAGTGGGAAGAGATACTGGTAAGAATAAGTCACAAAACACATACAAATACTGTCGTTTAGGTACTCAGCATTTAAAAATAAACCACTTATGGCAGCTGCTTATTTAAATGTGCTACATATCTCAGAACTCAAATCCTGGAAAACTGACCAATAGCTATTTTTAATCATAAAGCAATTAAATAAATCCTATTAAATCCTAAAAACATACCTCATTTTTATACTTAGATGAAAAAGCCTTTGATGCTAAGATACCTATTTAAAAACAAAAAGAACACATATTTTTATAGTGAACAATGACTTAAATCCCTGGTAGCTATGCACAGAGATTAACAGCTCATATATTTCCTTTTTAATTACTGTGAAATCCATCCACATCCATCAAAAAAAGAAGGAGGGTGCCATTTACTCCTCTTACAAGTATTCTCCCCAGCCCCTCCAAGCTCCAAGGGCCTCCATATGCTAATTTACCTGCCTCTGTGGTGCTGTTCCTTTGCTGCTTGTGTTTACTCAAACCTTCCATGACATCCTGAATTCGCCAAAGCTCCTTTTGAATCTGAGCACGCTGTATGCCCGCCGACTCATTCTGCCGGAGAAAAACATTAGCATTGAGACTGCAATTCTTAAAACCCGCTTTTTTTTTAAAAAAAAGCCATCTGAGAAGTCACAGTTTTCAGCTAGAATCATGTCAATCAAGTTGGTTTGGGTCACACCTGAACTTCTCCAAGGCGCTCCAGGTGTTCCTGCATGTGGTTCTTGGTAACGGTCACATCATATTCTAGCTTGTCATATTCCCGCCAAGCTCTCTCAAGCTCCTGAATACATTAGAAAAAAGTACGTTAGCTTTGACATTTTGCTCTGTTAGCCATGCATGGCAAAATTAACCTGCTTTCTGAATACAGTCAACCCTCGACTTACAAACTTAATCTGTTCTGGAAAGAAGTTTGTAAGTTGAAAAGTTCGTAAGTTGAATCAGCATTTCCCATAGGAATGCATTGAAAGCCAATTAATCCATTCCAGCTGTTTTTGGTTCTTAGGTCGAGGGGCGGTTTGTAACTCGACTCATTCGTTCCCATAGGAACTAATGCACAGCCAGTTAATCCGTTCCTACCACTATGGGCAGATTTTTTTTCCCTTTTAACCTAAGATGACTTAGGTTTAAAAAAAAGGAAAAAAGAGAGAGAGGGGGAAGGAGGGAACAGACACCTTTTCAACAGAACACCTTGAAAAGCACCTTTTCAGTCAAGACAAGCACCTTCTGGGAAAAACCAAGCACCTTTCAGACAACAAATCACCTTGAAAAGCACCTTTTCAATCAAGACAAGCCAATACAAGCATCTTTTGGGGAAAAAGGGGGCAGCAAAGGAGGGAGGGAACACTTTTTAAAAATCCAAAAATCAAAAATTAAAAAAAAAAGCCAAAAAATAAAAATACAGTCCATGCAGCACTGTACCAGGCAATACCAGGCAGTACCAGGCAGTCTGTAGACTATCTCCAAATCGACTCTCAAAACGCTGGGAAGAGCGAGGAAGCAGACATGCACCCTCTTCACTGGCCAAGAGTTAACTGAAAGTTCAAATTTCATGCTTTCCCCACATCCCGCGTGTTTGTTTGTTTTTTGCTCGTAACGTGAATCTAAGTTTGCAAGTTGAGTCGGTATTTTTCTATCAGAGCGGTTTGTAAGCCAAAATGTTTGTAACTAGGACCGTTTGTAAGTCGAGGGTTGACTGTATAAAGGAAAAATATTTTTTACATTTTGCATCGGTGCTACTCTCCCCCTTCGATAACAGGTCTGAAGGGGGGGGTCCAGTCGTCGACTTTGAAAGGGTTCTTACCCTGGCTATTCCAGGGTCCGGGCCACTCCGGTGGGGTATCAGGGTTCAGTAGTAATCCTTCCTCTCCTTCCAGTAGGGGGATAGTGTCTTCTTCTCGAATGTCCACCCAGTCACACTCCCTGGGGTGCTCCCCCGTCTCCCATGGAACTCCAGGAATTCTCTCTGTTGATTCTCCCAAATTCTCCATTCCAACCTCTCCCTTCGTTCTCTTTCCACTCTATCTCTTTCCTCTCTCAACTTCCTCCTCCACTGCTTAGTTTCTCATTCGCCCCAGTATGAAGGTTTGGGGTTCAACTCACGCCTCCTCTGAGCAACAGCTTCCTCCTTGGGGACACACAGTTTCTCTCTCTTCCCTGTCCATGGATCTTCTACCCAGATCCACTCCTAGCCTGCAGGTAACTCTCCTTCCCCCCTTTTTATTTTCCCCAACCCTGCCTCCACTATCTCCCGCCTTTTCTCTTCCGCACCCGCCAAGATAGTCCCAGGTTCTGTAATCATAAGTCTTTTCAAATCTCCCTCCAAATTCCCCGGGTCCTGTCCAGGAGGTCCCGTCTTCCATGGTGGGAGAACTGGTGGGGTCTGGCTCTCTTTCTCAGGGTTAGCGGGAGGGATGGCACTCCTGAGAGAGGGGTCTCTCTCTCTCCCCCCCTTCTTACAACATACTTAGAATTATTTACTGAAATTAGGCTAATTCAATACTTAGTTTAGTTAGAGAAGTGACAAGGGCCTGTTAATGGACCCAGCACCATTATACCAATCGGCCAGATCATTGGGAGGCTGGAGCACATCCAACTATTTATGAGCAAATGTGTAGAAATCGGGACACTTTTCTTTTTCTCATAAAAATAGTATTTTTATTTTCAAATGGAACCTGAACATTCGGGGCACTGGTCTGTACAATCACAGGGATAGCTGGCAGATCCCCAAGTGCTTTTTCCATGGAAGACACTGGTCTACCTTTTGGCTATAATGCTAGGACGTACTGACCAGTATCCTACTTTACTTTTGCTGAGTGGAAAGTCCCGCTAGCACAATAATGCAGGATTTTCCTGCCTGCATATGCACTGCTGTGGAAGCACTGTCCCATAGATATTATGTATTGACAACACGGCTCCCCTTTATTTCAATGTAATATGAACATGTCAGGTGTAAATCCCATGACAAGGTAGGATACACTGAAAACTACAAGGGCTCTTCAAATAAAAGGGAATCTCCCTCCTGCTCCCATATACCTTCTCTTCATTACAGCCAACAGTGCTGCATCAAAAGCCTGCCCTTTGACTCATAAAACCCTTTCAAAAAGTCATATGATATGGGGAACGGATCCACATGGCAGTTGACATCCAGGCTGTGACAGTTTACGCCAGCCATTGTAGGGGTTTCCTGTCATGTGAGCATCTTTGACCTGACTTTGAACAAAAGTCTGCGGTTAGCATTATATTGAGATCTGGTAAGCAGAAAAATCCTACCAGTTTACTTGTGCAGAAACATACTGTATGGATACAGGTTGCTCTTGATTTAATGGAGATACTATTATATGTGTATATAAAAATAAAATACTAATGCAAGAACAAGCAATACAGTACTATTACATAAAACTAACAAAATAAAAACAATCATCATACATGAAAGCTCACATCTACAAAGGTATTGCCTATTTTTGTACGTTCATATTCATTACTTTTTTTCTCCAGATAGAAAGAAAGAAAGCATATGCCTTTCTTTCTTTTTTTAAAAAAGTATTCAACTTCTCAGATGGTTCAGAAGATGTCTGGTGGCCTCCTAAAGTGAAGGAATGAAAACAGACTTATAACAGCCCTGGGCAAAGTGCAGCCCTCCAGATGTTGCTGAACTGCAAATCCCAACATTCCTCAACTCTCCTCACTATTGGCTGTGTGGGCTAGGAATTATGGGAGTTGCAGTTCAACAACATCTGGAGGGCCACATTTTGCCCACTCCTGGCTTATAATAATAAATGACAAACACCAGCCATGTAAGTATTTTGCTTTCTGTTTGGGGAAAATATTGATTTCAGAGAATCCAACAGCATATAGTTGAAAGTGTCAGGTGTCAACTCAAGTTATCTGGATTGGTAAAAACCACAGCAAGACTTGATGATTATGTGTTTCCGTGCAAGAGAAAAGTATTACAGTGGACCCTTGACTTACAGACGGCTTGACTTACAGACTTTTTGAGTTACAGACTTCTCTGGCCGCAAAATTTAGGTTTGACTTGCAGACTGAGATTTGACTTACAGACCAGAAAAAAAAACAAAATGGAACAAAAACGGCCTGTTACGGGATTAATCGGTTTTCAATGCACTGTAGGTCAATGGAGACTTGACTTACAGACTTTTTGACTTGAGAACCGCCTTCTAATACGGATTAAGCTCTCAAGTCAAGACCCCACTGTAGTTTACATTCTCTCATCTGAAATTCCAGTTCTTCCAAAAGTACCTTGTTTGGAAAGAAAGTCAGAAGCCTGAACCGTGACTACAAAGCTTTACAACTGTTAGCCAACTTCTAAAACAAAGACATTCCATTGTTTCAGAATATACACCCTCCTCATCATGGACTGGAGGACGAGGACAAATTAATGCCTGCAAAAGTGTAATAAAGAACAAACCTACAGACAGCCAATTTTAAAAGAATACTTACACAAAGAACCGCCACTTAACACACCAGTGAGTTTTACCAGCTGAAGAAAAATTGCATGACTTACTGCAGTAGCTCGAGACACTTCTCGACAAGTGCTAAGAAGTCCATTCTGCAAATCATCCCTCTGTAAGATGACGTTTTGTATGGCGGCTGGGTTTTCTGCATTCATTTCTATCTCCTGACTGGCTGACAGCAAAGCTTGCTCAAGCGTGTACTATGGTAATAAAAAGAATAATTTTTAATGTTCTGCATCACTGGACTGATTTTCTTTGTACTTCTCTTATCAGTGTTCTGATAATAAGGCATGGGAAATAACATCCATTTGAGGTAATAAATATAATTATCCTACTTTTTCTTTGTGCAGCTGCTGAAGCTTCTCTTCAAGGGCTTGCACCACTTTGTCTTGTTCGCATAATCGGCTCAGCTTAGTCTAGTGTGGAAGAGAAAGCGGCAATAATTAGTGCCACTACTTGCTCTGCATATTGGCAACTGAGACACAATCTGTTTCTTTAACACACACACACACACACAATCTTAAATTATACACAAATTAAGTATATGAACCACAGTGGGATGTTCTGTTCCTTTCTCTACACATCCATGGAGAATCTGCAGTACCTTATAGTGCGTTCTAGAGGGCAGCTCCTCCATGTGGAGCAGAGGCAAGACAAACAGTTTTCAAGGGCATTTTGAAGCCCATTAAGGTGCCATCTAGCAGGGACGTGGTGGCACTGCGGGCTAAACCGCAGAAGCCTCTGTGCTGCAAAGGTCAAAAGACCTGCAGTCATAAGATCGAACCCATGTTACAGAGTGAGCCTATGTCGCTTGTCCCAGCTCCTCCAACCTAGCAGTTCAAAAGCATGCAAAATGCAAAAATGCGAGTAGATAAATAGGTACCACCTTGGTGGGAAGGTAAATGGCATTCTGTGTCTACTGACGCTGGCCACGTGACCACAGAGGTCTGCCTGCAGACAAAACGCTAGCTCTATGGGTTGGAAACGGAGATGAGCACCTCTGCCTAGAGTGGGACACAACTCGACAAATTGTCAAGGGGGACCTTTACCTTTTTAAGGTGCCATCTATGGGAGCACTGCCTCTCCAGTGATGGGATTCTTCTCCAAAGTAAACCATGGGTTTCTCTGTGCACTGTTTTAGCCAAAAGATTGGTGTCTTCTTCCTCAAATCAGAATTTCTCCTCCCCTACCACCAAGGGAAGTGAGCTTCTTATTACTGCCAGTTTCTTTTGCAAGGGGTAGTGTGGCCCCTGCAGAGTCCTTACTGGAAAAATGGCCTCCTGGCTTCTGGATCAGGCCCAACCCTAGTGTGGGCAGCTGTGTACCTGCACTACCACCTACACCTTGTAAAAGGCTAGAGCATGGCTATTGGGGGCCCATTTAAGACATTACAGAAATAACAATCTTGCACAATGATTTGGTGATTTGAAAGAAATTTGTTTAATAGCTATCCATAAAGGAGGGAGAATGGCTTCCTGGCAGAACTAACAGAGAGGATAGGTACTCAGGGCACAGTGAGCTGGATACTGCACACATTACACAACACTGCACAAAATTGTTCTTAAAGACCTGGAATAGAATGTGGAGGGAAGTATGGGAATAATAATGTCTTGGAATTAACAAGGGGGTCCTAAAATAGATACCTATTTCCAGATGTGGGTCAACACTTATTTCTACAGAGCATATTTCATATGCAGTTAGCTTCATAGGCTATGCTGTACAAAGGCGGAGTTTATTTTAAAGTTTTGGTCCACTGTCATATAAAGCTGGGTCTCAGAAGAACAATTTTTAAAAAACCTCTTCTTGAAATGCTCAAAAATTCGTGATCTCTTATGGGTGGTTTGGGTGAAATTCTACATTTTCCAAAGCCTTACAAACATAACATTGGTTTATCAGTTATCTCAACTCTGCTCCAGAAATGTGACACCAGTGTTATCTTTACGACAGAGGATGAGATGGCTCGACAGTGTCATCGAAGCTAACAACATGAATTTGACCCAACTCCGGGAGGCAGTGGAAGACAGGAGGGCCTGGCGCGCTCTGATCCATGGGGTCACGAAGAGTCGGACACGACTAAATGACTAAATGAACGAACGATTTTTTAATCAGGTAAAACCAACAGTTTCTATGAAACATAGGTTCAACATATTACAAGGTAATTGTACTTACATCAATATCCAACTCTTCTGATCTGTATTTGTACAGAGAACCCCTACATTCATCTTGTGTCAGCTATAATAAGGAAGAATACTGCCATCAAACAACTTCAGTAACATCATGCAAAACAGTGCGCAATCTAAAGTAAACATTTAATTAAGCATAAATGACTTCAAATTTAAATGTTAAGCACATAGTATGCCTGACTGCATTTAATGAGCACACAGCATGTAAATCCCAGTTTACAATGAAATGTCAAATATGGACTGTCAGAATGGGGAAAGTGTATCAGCGCTATTTATTCTTACTAAGAAAGTTAACCAAAGCGGAGATTGCAATCTACGTTTCATTGCAATCTCTGGAATTCATAAACATGATACAAATTTAGTTTTGATTCTAGTCCAAAATGAGCAAAAAGCAAATTGAACAAAGAAAAGGGAATGAATAAATTGGCTTCATTAATGTTATCAATTTGCTGCTATGCAGTTAGAGAACAACAATGCAAGTGAAACTTCTAAAAACAAAGCCTTATCTTGCATTTATTTTCTCTCTCCAGAAAATGCAAGAAAAATTACTTGAGATTTATCATGGGGAAAAAAGATGTCATTGGCAAAGACTTTAAAGCAATGAAAACCATGAGCACTCTGGTGGTGTACTGCAACTTTGGTTACTTTGCTGCACACCTCTTAGCTTTGTTAAATAAGGCTTTCAACACCGAATACCTCTTCACTACAGACTATTTAATCTAAATGGCTAGAGGATTAGAAAGAATTTCAACAAATTTAGCAGCCAATTCAGATATAGAATAATAGAAACACTGAGCTGGAAGAGGACTATAAGGCCATTGAATGCAACCCCCTGCTCAATGCAGGTAGCGGATTCGAGAATCATCATTGGAAAAAATCCATTCAGTTTTAGCACAAAGTTTTGATAAAAGAGATTTCCTGACCCGGTTCTATCATATATGAGTCTGCTGCCATTGATCATACTTTTGCCCTCACAAGCTTATGAACTTTTAAATGGAATGGCAGTTATCACAATCGAACCACCAGTGTGAATACAAGAGACTGCCAACACATTAACTTCTTATCACTTCTAGGTTTTAGTCTGCCTGTTAGTAAGGAATTTTAACAATATGACAATAAAGAATTACATGGATGCACATTCGAGCAACTTTCAGGGGAGTAACTATGTTAGTCTGTCGCAGCAAAAGAAATGATCTTGTTGCACATTAAAAGCTAACGAAGATAAGTTCTGCTAGAACAAATACATTTTGTTCTGCTTTAATGAATGGGATATTGGTCCAGGTCAGATGTAACATCCCCAAGCGGCTAAGATGACTAGGCATGAGCCTGAGCAAAAGCCGCAAGCTCCTGCATTACTATTACCTCCCTGAGGCCCTCTCATATTTAACTGTGACATAGAACTGGATCAACAGCAGCAATAAAAATATGTTTTAGTTAAAAAGACTGCCACGGCAACCAGAGTTCAAACTAAGACTGGGGGCTTCTTTTACCCTGAAGAACAAATTCAGTTTCAGAGCAGCATATCCATGGTGGAGGGGGCCAAGAGCAAAAGGGCGAACCCAATGAGTCGTATATTTCGGTTTGAAGTTCTCGCCTGCAACAATTAAGCCTTAAGAGATATTTGAGGCTTTTAGAATAGTAAAGAATATCCCCCCAAAAAGAAGGGAATCACTAACAAAATGGCATCAGTGGGAAAGCCAGAGTGCGGCCATTTCAGGAACTCCACAGAACAATCTGGGACTCCAGGAGGGCTAGATTTGAGGTTCCCCATGTCAGTTTAAATTTACAAACTCTAGTTAAGAGGCAACCTGTTTAGCATCAGAAATGGTTAGTGCCAATGCAGACATACCATTGCAATATATTTAAAGCAGATATGGAGGACAGATGAAGAAAAGGGAAGAAAAGAACAGAGCCACACATTTTCCCAATTAATACATATGCACTGAGCGACTCTACCAAACATTTAAAAACTTTTAAATTAGAACATACTTGTTGATTGCCCTTTAATTTGTCTTCCTCCTTACTATCACATACATGCACAGTGTTTTTACACAAAGAGTAAGATTATGCATCTCTCTGCTTTTAAGGAAGTACTGTGTCAGCAAGAATGAAGTAAGGGTTTAGCCATACAAGCATTCCAAACACAGAACAGATCCTCAGAAGACTTTTTAAGTGTTTCATTTCCAGACATATCCTCATGCAAATGCACTGGGTGACGATCTGAGAGTATGCACAGTGTACTGAAGCCATATAAGTAGCCTTGCTTTGAAATGAACATTTAATGGAATGAGTATCAGAGGATGAAAAAGCCACAGCACCTTTGACATGTCACGAAGTTTACAGGTTTCAATTTGGTATGATGTTTAGTACTAGCAGGGCTCTCCCATTTTAAAACCCACTTAGATATATGCTACAAAAATCATGTTGACAGGAGAAAGAACTGAAGAATGGAAATATCTCTTTTTTAAAATAATAGAAACAGGTATATGCTCAAACATGGCCAATGTAAATCTGGCCAGACTCACAACAGGAAAAGCATGTATGCAACCATTTTGAAGCAGTAAATAGGGGGTATTTAGTACATTTTGTAGGATTCTTTAGCATGCCACCTATCACTGTCATTGCAGTTACAGGCAATTCTGAAAAAGGGAATAATTCTCTTCAAACCCAAAAACTACTTTCAAAATAAAAATACCACTGATTTTTACCTGAATTTCTTTGAAAATTATAATCTACTTATTTTAAAAAACCACCAGCCCAAAAAGCAGAAAAATTCAGAGGTATAGTATATACTGCCCAACATTATCTTTTCTATGACAGAACTTCAAACAGAATGATACAGTAATTCTGTTGAGTCCTGGTTCATAATTTAACAGAAATCTTTGCTTCTTGTACATGAACAAGCTTTAGGATTTTTTGCTCCTTCTTCCCACTTCCTCACATTCAGTTTAAAAATACTTTGAAGTTTTAGGCAAGATTTGAAATTACATGTGAACTACATTATACGTAAGATTGCAGAAACTGTTATTTAAATATGCCCAGAGATACAAGTGCTTGGCTCCAGAAAACTGCAACTTGAGCAAACATTCAGTCTGTTGAAGACAACAAAATGGGGACAGATTTCATTTTGTTTCAACAATCTGCGAACTCTTCTGGGGAATATCCTATCTACTTTAAAATGTTATCAGGATTCCTCACTCAGAAAAGGTGTGGGCAACATGAAGTCCACTGGCCACATATGCCCTTTCAGCAAAAATGGAGAATTGCCAGTTCTGGAAGTTTTTAGGAACAGGAACTTTCCTTTAAAACAAAATGCAGATCACTTGGGCCTTGGTGTCCACCCCAAAGGGGCTTTCTGTCCACTTTCAGTTTGTTTGTTTTTTCAGGTACTACAACTCATGGCATGTCCCAGAATCCAAATATTGCTCTCTGAGCCCCCAGGGCTAAACAGCAATCTCTCTCTCTCCCTCTCAAAGTGTAAGCAAAGAATAGTGTCTAATGAATTATAGAGCAAATCCTAGTGCAAATGGAGGAGAGGATGCACTTGGAACATATATGCCCTCCACAATGCCTGGCTGATGCTCGTTATTATTAACAGAGAGTTTTCCTCAGAATATACACCAGTATCTGGTGTGGCAACAACGGATGCCTGTGCTGATGATTTAAGAGTTCCTTCACAGAAAGTGTTATTTGGTGGGATAAAGTTCAAAGAGAGAACTGACCTCTCTCAAGTGAAAATAGCAATGTCATGTAACCACATAACCTGATTTTATAATAGCTGAAGATATTTGACTCACTTAGAGGATATTTATCTCTCAAGAGGGGCGCAAACCACACTTAAGCAGTTTGGCCCAGTTTGATGCCTTGCCTGCACAGGTATTCCACAGGTACTGCACACTCTCCTCTCCCGCCTCCTCTGTGCACCACCATTTCCTGGGCAATGTGCTTTCCTCCCCTTCTCCTCAGTGTGGTTGCCCACTCACAGATGACAGTGTGCGCTTCCCTCCTCCGGTGACTGCCCACTCAAAAGCAACTCATCTCCTTGTCTAATTGGGTTGGAGGAGGCAGAGGAGGGAGCTCGCACGTCGATTGGTGAGTAGGCAGTTGTACTGAGGAAGCAGGAACGGGAGCACACATTGCTTGGGGAATGGGTGAACATGCAGAGGAGGCAGGAGAGGGGAGTTTGCGGCCCCCATGGAACACCTGTGTGGGCACCACACTGAACTGGGCTGAATTGCCAAACTGCGGTTCATGCCCATCTCTAATTCTGTCAGATCATCACCAAAACTACAGCAACGACATGTTCAGGCCACTGTAAGTTTATAGGAAGAGAACTCACATTTTTGGAACAATTTTAGAATATATATTTTAATTGTATTTTAATTGTTTTATCTTTTTTTACTCTATTTAAATTGTTGTAAGCCGCCCAGAGACCTTTGGGTAGTGTGTGTGGCATATAAATTAATTAATAAAATAAATGAAATAAATAAGAACTCCTAGAATTCACCAAGAATTCTCCAAACCAGAGGTCTAAGATATGAAGGTGAAAAATGCAGTTTACAAGAAAGCTTTAATTATCTATATATGGGCCTCAGTTGCCATTATTTGCCTTTCAAGAAGAAGAATACAGTGGTGCCTCACTTAACGATGTTAATTGGTTCCATAAAAAAAATCGTTATGTGAAAACATCGTTAAGTGAAACACCATTTCCCATAGGAATGCACTGAAAACCGGTTAATCCGTTCCAATTGGAACAGATTAATGCCTGCAATCATTAGCCCACCTCCTGAAACCTAAGCAAACTTAATTTGGTGTTGTTCTGAGTCTTCGTTAATTTTTGGTGATTTTTTGTTTTCTCCATTGAAAGCCTTTGAACGGACCATTCAAAGGCTTTCAATGGAGAATTTAAAAAATCACCAAAAATTAACAACGACTCAGAACAACACCAAATTAAGTTTGCATAGGGTTCAGGAGGTGGGCTAACGATTGCAAGCATTTAAAACAGGTTTCTAACAGTTTAAGACACTTTTACAGGAGCAAAAAAGGGACATTGTTAAGTGAAATTCCCCCATAGAGAACATCGTTAAACGATGGGGGAAATTCCTCAAAGAAACCCATCGCTGTGTGAATTCATCGTTGTATGAAGCAATCGTTGTGCAAGGCACCACTGTACTGCCCCAGTGCTGCCTGGGAGTCACAAGGCTTCATAGCATGCATAGCCCCACTGCCCATTAGGCGCTATAGAAGGTGCCTCCCAAAAAACTATCTGTCCCATGAAGTATCATGATTCCTATGAACCCTTGTAAATTCCAGGCAGCACCAGGACAGTTTCCTATTTTCTTAAAAGGTGAATAATGATGATAGTGGACCACATGTATGTAAGGTTGCTCTGTAAACTGCATTTACTGAGGAATTCTGGGAGTTGCAGTCCAAAATTCCAAAAGTCCCCTCCTTAATATGTTTCTCAAATATTAACATTAGAACAAAAATCTGCTGCTTTTCATAATGATTTACTGAAGGACAGGGGAAAAAGACCAAAGAAACTGCACACTAGAATCTACCCTAACCTTTAAAAGGAATCTGACCAAAAGATAGGCCAACCTTTCCATCCTTTTATCAATAATGTTCAATAATCCAGAGATTAGATACTTGCAGGCTTCATCTGTTTCAAATCACACAGTAATAAAAGCTCCTCAAAAAAATCTAGCTTTTGGTGAAGACGATGATGACACTAATTCAAGAAATAGTGCCACCTGGTGTCAAAACGGGAACACTGCCTATCATACCCTACACTTTAATTCACACCTAGGAAGTAATGAGATTTTCTTAGGACCAAGGAATACTGCTCCTTTACTTACTCTACTAGCAAGTTCTCAGGGTTTTAGATGTGGGCTCTACTTGGAGATACTGATGCCTGAACTTGGGACCTCTGCTCTACAACTGAGCTATGGCTGGAGATAATAGAGGCAGCTAGGGTAACCACAAGATGTATCTAAATATACTTCTGCAAGTTTATCAAATATCCCTATATGCATGGAGGGCTCTCGAAGATGAATACTTGGCAAGCTGGTTCACTGTGGCTGCAAGACTCATACAGTAAGAAGACTGAGGTTAATTAAAAGGGATTTGCAAATGGGAAAAGGACTTATGAGAGAATAGTACAAAACCTCATACACATACACAGAGGTGCAGCACATACATGAAGTATAATAACTTTTATGGAACTCTCACAGTTCCCATATCAAGGTATGGGTGCATGCCAATGCAATGGAAAGTTAACTCTTATATTGAATCTAATATTTACGAAGAAGAACTACACAGATTGAGACTCTAGGTCAGTCAAAATGTAGTCCACTGTTACTTCTACTGCTGTAATGTCAGAGATACAGAAGAGGTAGTTGAGGAAAAAATCCTTACTTTATGATAATGTCTAAAACTCACTTTCTGTCTCATTCTGATGAAACATTTGCCCTTGAATCAGTGAACAGAGAAACAAGAGGGGGCTTCTTCTATTTCAAAAACAAAATTTAGTAGTTCTAAAAATGTGGCTTTGAAAAAGGAACTACCTGGCATTTCTTTTGTGGTCTTTCAGAAGTGTCTCTATGCTTTTTTATCAGAAGGCTGTGTTGACATAAGCATCTACGTTGCACTCATAAAGGGAGCACGTCTTTGATTAAGGATGAAAAATGACAGGCACTTCCTATGGTAGCTGATTAAAGTGTCCCCATGCAGTGGGCCTGACTGCACGTGGAGCTGATCCTCTGTAGGCTGTAGCCATGCAGAGAGCAGGATGCTACCATGCACCTCCCCATTTCCAAGGTTTTCCAAGCAGTCGTGGGAGTATGATACTGGTAACGTCAGGCTCACCATCAGGTTGGGGCTTCCACACATTACAGGTGTCCACCATGTGGCAAGCTGCTGCCTGTTACCAAATTCAAAAATATGTTATTTGTATTCTGCAACCCGCACAAACCTGTAAGTAACTAGCAATAAAAAAAAAAACAACATGCAGTGCAACTCAAGTCAGGAAGCTTCATGAATTCATGAACAAAGACAGGGAAACTCTTTCCAATTATTTGGCTCAGGACCTTAAAAGCTACCACTTCTGAAGTGCGAAAAGAATGTGGACTGAAAACTGGAAAAAGAACGCAGATAAACCATGTTGTTTAAAAAGAATTTCTGAGCAGGAATAATTAAGATGTAGCCCTAGCCATTGATTTACATGCCAGTTCCTGCCTCTTTGATAACTTGTCTCTGTGACTTGTTCACAAAGTATTTTCAGCTATTTTAAATTCCAAGCAAAATTTTAGAATGTAGAATGAATGAAAGAATGAATGAAAGTCTATAGACATATTTCACTGAGTGGACACATATCATTCAAAATGAGAACTAAAGAAGACACTGATCTGCATAAAAGTACATATACCAATTTATATGTAAGCATGTAAAGTTAGAAATGACTACTATAATTTAAATAGAATGACAGCAGATCTCATTTAAGTGGAGAATACTGTAATTGGTGTGGATGGATAATTGCAAGGTATCTGATCTCATTGCCTGTGTTTCTTTATATTTAAATGAAACCTGGACTGGACAACTCTTCAAACTTGGGTTATTTTTAGGAGGAAGGCAGGGTGTAAATATTTTAAACAAAAACTTTCAAAAGGGAATGGTGCTCTAACAGCCTTTTAAATAGAGGAATTCAACCTGCAAAAGAGGACATGTAGCCACTCTATCAAGTTACCAGTAACTTATCCTGAATTATATATTTGATATTAATCAAGAAGCTATACTGGAAGTTTTCTTCAAGCTGTGTGACTTTATAAAAACAGTACCATATGTTTAAAAGTTATAAAAGCTGATGTTTCGTATCTGAGCTCCCCATTACATTAAACCTATAAGGCACTGGTTCCCAACCTTGGGTCCCATGGATGTTCTTGGACTAAAACTCCCAGAACCTTCACCACTAGCTGTGCTGGCCAAGATTTCTGGGAGTTGTAGTCCAAGAACATTTGGGGATCCAGGGTTGGGAACCACTGCTCTAAGCATTTCTCTACAGGTACACCCAGGAACAACCTGGCAATTAATCCTTCTGGAATCAGACTATCATGTATGTATCAGTTTAAAACAATAAAAGTACCCATCCAAACTAATGCAAAATAAATCTAAATAATTGGGTAGAGAAAAGGAATGATATATATTACTGGTATCCAAAGGCATTTTAAAATTTTGATCTATAGACCTTTCAGTACAGAGGCTATGTTTTGTTTAGATAAATGAACTTGGGTATAAACTGGCCATAACTGAAAGGCACAACCCTTAGTCTCAGTCAATTAACAGACAGCATAGCCAGTACATCTCCTTTATTTTAGTCAAATGACACATTGCTTTAAAAATGATAATTATTCACAGAGGGAAAGCATGGGCAATATAGGTTCACCTGGAAGTTAACTAAGCACATGTTTGAGCAAAATTGTAAAGGCACAAGAAGCACATAGTAACCACTCACAAGAAGCATCAGAGTGTTCTCCTGAAGATACTTTTTTGTTCATGCTGAAAAGGTTAATAATACTTGCCCCAAGAAGGTGTCTTTGACTTAGTGGACAGTTAAATGGCAGGTATGGGTTTTCCCATTACAGTTGCAATAAATGAAGCTGTATCTGCCCAATTCTCTAAGTCACATTTGGTAGTTAAAGGTCAAATGATGCTCTCTCAGGACAGGCATTAGTGGCCTTCCATGCTGGTCAAAGCTCAAGTTATTAGAGTTACTTTGGATTATGATGAGCCCTGAGCTCATAAGATTGAAAAAAATATGCCATTACTTGGGGAAAAAAGGGAAACAAACAGCAGGATGCCAAACATTTAATCTCACGTATGGTAAAATCTGACAGCCTTACAGCATTCAGGATAAATTATTATACTAATGGACTTCTAACAGACATGTTGATGTTATATTTCCATTCAGCACATTTCCCCTCTGAGTCTTTCGAAATCATGAATCAAGACTGACTTTGTTTGCTGTGACTTTCTGAACACACTGCCCTTAGGAGCTACAGACCCCAGATCAAACTTATTTGATCCTTTTTAACTCCCAAGGGCAAATAATAATAATAATTTAAAAAGCTACTACAGTATCAGGGAGCCTAAAACAATTAGTAAATACATTCTTAGATGGTGGTAAGCTGCCAGAAATGACAAGGTAAACACTGCTGGCATGCTTTTGCATTAAACCAAATGAAGATGTTCCTTCAAACAAAATAAATAAAATGTATTGCAGAGATCCATGCTGCAACAAATTCTGGAAGCTTGTTGGCATTTTATGATTCTGCCAGATTAGCCTGCAGAGAACAGCGATTAGCTAAATATTCTGAAACAGCAAAAGTTATCCAAAAGGGTACATTGAATACTCAATGACAAGTATGTTCAGCAAAGCCATGCTAGCGAGACTGCAACATTTTGTAAAGCACAGATGACTTGTGGTTCTCCAAAACAAACAGGAACACCAATGTTATGGGTAAAAACTGGAGGGGACAACCAAAAATTGTCACTGAGGAAATTTTTTTTGCAATGATAAAAAGCAATTTCATTCACTATCCAAGACCTTACTTGGTGGTACAGTTGTGGTCTTAGCGCCGAGTTCTCAATCATAGTGTGAACCATGATGATTAAAGGTTCATTCTCTTTCATCTATTTCAAATCAGGAGGAGCATACAGCAAACATCAGTTTACAGCACAGCTAGATTTGAAAGACGACACTGTAAATATAGCCTCTACTTCAAATGTTTTCTATTAGTGCAACAAGATTATACTTCCTCTCTTGTGATTAGCAAAACTGTACATTTGAAAATCCAAAGATGAACTAAGAAACCTACGCTTTTAAACAAGAATGCCATACAACCCACAGTAGAATTAAAGCAACTCATATCAGTAACCAGCATTTTAGATGTTTTCCTGAGCCCTATTAAAACTTTCACAAATGGATAAGATGTGCAAAACAGTAGCAGTCCATAAATAACTAAATGAAACTGATAAATATATATATTTCCCTAGGGATAGTTACATTCCATGAAGACTGAGTGCATATGCTCTAAAAAAGACAATTGTCCATCTACAAATGGGATAGCGGGCAGGTAGTTGAATTTAATTTGGGTCTTAACATGCCAATCCTGTGGAGAGTGACATTTCTTTTTTCGCTCTAAAAAAAGACAATTATCCGTCTACAGATGGGATAGCGGGCAGATACTGTAGTTGAATTTAATCTCGGTCTTAACATGTCAATCCTGTGGAGAGTGACATTTCTTTTTTGAAAACCTGAGTGGGCGCCCAATCTATGCCACAGCATACAAAAATATAAATATCACAGAAAGAAAATTTTTAGTGTGGGCCACCATGTATCATGCTTATTAAATATTTTCAGTGTTAATAGCAATGGATTTAAGTCATCCAAGTTGGTGAATGGTTATCTGTTAGTGGTTTTCAGATATACCTTGTGATCCTCAGTCTAGTGTGTATTCAATATTAATTTCCATGACTGCTGTTTATATTAAACTCCTATGACAAGTAGAATTCTGTGCTGATATCAAGGAATCAATATTTTAAAAAGTCCTTATTCTAATAGGTTCACATTATCAACAATGGCCAGATTAATAACAGCAAGGAATTAAAATGTAAAACTTAATTTTCAATTGAATGTATGGTATAAAGAAATGTGGAACAGAACCATTAACGATCAGTTGACATATAATATTAAAGTTAAGAAAGGTTTGTTAAAGAAGAATATTTTTATAAATATCTGGAGATAATTTATTGACTGTAAAGGGGAAAGGTTGCACACCTTCTCAAGAATTAATGCAGAGGTAGAGGACTCTGTAAGAGGAAGAAAACTGATTATATCTCCAAATGGTCCTGAGATGGGGTTACTGTATTGTCTAAATCAGGGGTACCTAACCCCTGGGCTGCAGACCAGGACCAGTCCGTACCCTTGGAAGGACTGGGTCGCTAGGACAGATGAGTGGTGAGTGAAGCTCCACCCCCTGTCAGCGTGCTCCTATTAGGTTCTAACGCCACCGCTGATCTGACAGGAGGCGGAGCTTCACTCGCCACTCCTCTCCTGCTGCTGTTAGATCAGCTGTGCCTGTGGCATTAGAATCTCACAGGAGCCTGCGCTCCTATTAGTTTCTAAGCTGCTGCTGATCTAACAGGAGGCAGAGCTTCCACTGCCGCTCACCTCCTGCTTCTGCTCATCGCTCATCTGTCCCGGCACAACACATGTAAAGAGCTCGATCCAAAGCTATCCTCCAACAACCTGCCGCATAACAAGTACCCCCTCGGTTGTAAGAGGAGGATGGTCTTCAACTAAAATGGTCCCTGGTGTCAAAAAGGTTGGGGACCACAAATGGGTTTATGTTGTCAGTTTGATATTTGACTAATTTCTCTTTTTATATTCTTTGTTTTTTGTTGTGATTTTTAATAATAAAGAAGCCAAATAACCCACACTCTGCAGATGGGACTTAAAGACAGTGAGGGAAATGTATCACCCCCCCCCACATACTGCTACACTGCAACTCCCATCATCCCTCATCACTGATTATGCAGACTAGGACTGATGGAATTTACAGGTCAACAGCTGGCAGCCCATATGTTCTCCACGACAGCTTTAAGGCTTCTGTTCTACTAAAATGCATTTAAATCGGTTCAAGGACATTCACTAATTCACATTCAAATACAATGACCTCAAGCAGTTTGTGAATTGCCCTTAACACTGAACTACTAATTTAGCCACTTAGGGGACAATTGGTAATGCCAGCTGTTTATACATCCAACATGGTAATGTAATATGAAATATAACCCAATCCCCAGCCACAAGATGATGGGAAGAGGAGTGGAGGAATGGAAATTGTGAGTGAATTACATTAGAAGCCCATTTTTCTCCTATGTGATTTGACTACATTGTGGGTTCATCTCCAAGTCACAGTAGCATAGCCTAGTTGACTTGTCACTCTTGCCAGGACAGACATCTCAAGACCACTTTTCGTCTGCCTCACATGTAAAGAAGGCAATTCACATGAGTGGGCAGTAGCTTCTGCAATTCCAGGAAATTTCTATTGCATGTTCCATAGAAAAGACTGTGTTCTATTTCAAAACCAAGTGTATGTCAATGGTAAGCAATGAAGAAGAAATATGAAGTCCTGAGTAACAAAATATCTTCTCTACCAAAATTAGTTAGCACCAATTATAATCCACAGTACTGTATTTCCAAGCAAAGCCCCTGAAATTTCATTCCTTACATTTAAAAAAGCACAAATGATCATTAGCAGAATTAGAGAGAGAGGTAGCTCTTAGAAGAACTACTAATCATTTTCCTTGGCCAACAATATTCTGTTACATCCAGTGGAATAATTCAACCCCTACGGTGAAGCAGAGACAGGGGGAAAAACCCCAGTCTATCTTAAAGACTGGTGCTTTTTTGTTTTTTAAAAAATCAATGCTGGTTCTATGGGATAACCCTGTGAAAACTGGAACAACAGTGGGCAGAACCACATATGAAGATAACCTCAACACAGCAATGAACAGAGAAGCTTCTGAAGACATTAGAGCTCCACATGCTCAGAATTCCCATCCATATAATTATACTCCAGAGTAGAGTGGCACTTTAACTGCAACTTAACTATTAACTCTTATATGCCAAACAATCCCATGTTAACTCAGCATTTTTCTAATAATTTGATTAGCAATATTGCCTATGGTATTAATTAGCTGCAGCAGGGGAATGAGTAGAATGTCCTTAGCTGAATTATATAGAGTTGGTCCTACAATTAATCACAATTAATTTAGTTAAGGAGCTGAGAATTTTGTTTTTGCTCATAATTGCTCCTAAAGCCAAATACAGATATGAATGTAGAAGTCTGCTTGTAGTATTAGGTTTGAGTATTTGTTTCTTCCCAAATGCATCATACATCCAATTATTATGCACAACTACTAATAACTTAACTGTACTTCAGCTCTCAGGATTGTAAGTTTTAAAACTTTCAATTACTTATAAATCCATTTATGGAAATTCTAGGAAGAGAGCTGAGCAAACCGTAATTTTTTAAAAATCAAATGTGACCACTGGAAGCCACAATTAGAGCGAACTCATGGACATTCTTGGGGTTCATTTCAGAATAAAGGCTTTTAGTTTCATTGCACAGTCCCTGTCCCTTCACTCGGCCCACCTACTCTAAACACATTGTTGATATAAAAACCATTTTACAGTAGACAAAAAACGGGGACTATGCAAAAAGCAAAATACTACTGGTAGCCAAAACTATAACAGTAAAGGCGTATTTTCTCCAAATTTTTTCTTAGAGAATACCAGATTTTCTCTTATTCAATTATCTCCTGAATAGCATAACTTTCTGTTTGAATAATATAACTTTCTGTTTAGTGAATTAATCAAACGACTACCAATTATGTATTCTCAAAGGCTTTCATGGCCAGGATCTGATGGGTTTTTTGGGCTCTTTGGCCGTGTTCTGAACCCAGAGCACAGACAAAGTTCCGACTCCTGTCCTCTGAAGATGCCGGCCACAGAGACTGGTGAAACGTTAGGAAGAACAACCTTCAAAGAGCCTGAAAAACTCACAACAACCATCAAACAACCAATTATGTTGGTAAGTCAGTAAGTCAGTAAAGTAAGTCAGTAAAATAAGCAAAGAGGTCTTGTGTGCAAAGCATCTAATAAAAAATGTGCTGGCCCTCTGTGTCAGCAACAAGTGGGCAGTATACCCTACTTTGTGCTAGGATGGATAAAAATCAGTGATTTTTCAAAGATCAAATTGATTTGAAGTGACAATTTAAATAATGATTTACATTTTTAAAAAATCAATTATTGATTTAAATTGTCAACAAAATCTGATTTTAAAAAAATATAAAATTGTGATTTAAATCAATCTGATTTAAATCAAATCCACCCTACATTGTGCCACTGTTCTTGGGCTAGTGCCTTCGCAGAGCTACCATGGTACAGCTGTAGATTAATGGCATAATGAGTTACTGTGTCAAGTCAAAATAATGTGCTTGAATATAAGGATGCAGAAAAAGGAAACCGGAGAAGAGCTCTCAGCTTCTGCACTAATAGAAAGGCGGTCATTGAAAGCTGGCAGCTACATTTTAAATTCTGAAAGTTTCATTTTGTGCCAATTTTTAAAACAGTAATGTTTTCTGAAAGATCATGAGACCTTCATGCTTATGCTCTTAAGTTAAATGTTTAGAGACAAGGCAAGTGCTGTAATTGAAGTAATTACAATTGGTAAACCTATCAATAAGTAAATAAATAAATAAATATGATGGGGCCCATTCAAATATTAGATCTCAGAGGGCACATTTTAGCAGACTAGCTGCAGTACTAGGGTTAAGAACAGGAAAGAAATGGAAGTTTCCTAGCAACTAAAACTGCACTATTGATACTTGCAAAAGCATTTTTATTCTCTGTCTTGTAAAATTTTAGTTGGACAGCAGCACCAAAAAGTTTAATTATGAAAAATAAAGTCAACATGTTATTAGAGATAAAAATGTACAAGAATAAGCTATGAATCCCACCTGGTGATCCAAATATATTGCATTCCTTTGAAGGTGATGAGAAAGAATCTCATTCTAGCAACCCGCATTCAGAGAGAAAAGAAGGAAGCAAGAAAGGGACAGATACGAAGATGTGAAAAGGTCAGTCAGAAAATATAAACTATACACTCTAAGTTCCAATCATGTTTACATTATATGTAACATTACACAATAACCTATCAAAATTATCTGATTCTACAAAGGACTAATGTAACATTTTGGATTTTTCTAGAATCAAGTTTAACATTTTGAAAAGATAGGCAAAACTTTAGCGATACAAGGAAGCAAAATGCAACTGAAGATCTGACTGGTTTTATATAAGCATTAGTTTGCCGTTGTAGATTTAGCAATATTTCCTGCAAAAGCCATTTCTGAACATTAACACAAAATGAAGAAAATCATTATGGTTGTGTGGAATCTACACAGACAGCTATAAACCCTTTGATACACTTGTGCACATTTCCTGCTTTTTAACACCAATTGCAAGTTATATCGAAGACGAGGAGACAAAATGAAATAAGACGTAGTAGATCACACTGATCCTCTCTTACCTACTCTGCCTTCGGATTAGTATGTAATCTCTGCAATTTACAAAATTTAGACTGAGCTAAAATGAAATGTTTTGAATGTATTCTTATATCTGTTTTGTTGTAAATGCATCCAAATATCTACAGCAGAACTCAAAGGGTTAATAGCAGACCACCACAGATGCTAGGAAAACAATAGACACACGGAGAATCTACATCAAACGAAAGTCAGCAAGTCAGCGCTGTTGGAACAATGCAAGCTTGGATTAATGAATGGCTAAAAATTAGTGAAGATGGCACATGACAAACACTACTTTGTAGCTGACCTTTGGGCTGCTGGCCTCAAGTTTTAGTTGCATGAGTTGTGCTAACGTATGTTCCCGGATACTACTCAGTTCAGCTTGCTGCCTTCTCAGCTTTATAAGCAGGAGCGTCAGCTCCTCTGGCTGAAGAAGTATCGTGTGAGAAGCCAAAGAGTGGAAAATAGGTTAATCTTTGTCCTAAACAAGACTTCAGATTCATACTTGCATTTGATCAAGCTGCCTGCCATGCCATATCCAAATTAAACTGAACTGTTTGAAGCAAGGCAACTTGTAACATTTCCCAGTGGATTTTGACTAAAAGAGAATCTTAAAATGACAATTCTTTTCAACACTCGGACGACATAACAAAGGCCACATTTGCATGTCATGCTAAACCATGGTTTTGTGTGAACTCTCCACGCCTCTTGGCTGGGAACAGTAATAGAAATGTTTAGAGTGTTGCTTAAGTGTTGTTGTTTTTTAACCCTGTGCTTACTATGGCTACTTCCAAAAGAAGTCCACTTCAAACCATGCTTCTACAGGTGAGTTGTTTGAAATCAAGCCTACAAAATGTGAACTACAGTTCTAAATCTTGGGTAAGTGTGAGCTTCCATATTCCTAATCAGTCACTTGTTCCCGCTTGTACATATAATAAACCATGTGTTAGCACAATATGTAAAGGAAGGCAAAAAAGGTTTACCATGGTCACATGACAGTAAGAAATTACTGAAAGTTTGCAGCCCCAGGTTTCCCAGAAATATGTTATGAGAATTCAAAGATATAGAACCTGACTATAGTACCTAATTGAATAAAATATTGGTGAAAGAGAAAATAAAAACACACACACACCAAAGAATGTTTGAAAAAACTCCAGAAACTAAGCATTGTAAAAAAAATAACACTCTTAAAGTTAGTAGATCCAAAACAGAACTTTCTTTTTCTTTTTTGAACAGCTATTTTAGGTCTTTTCAAAGGACTAATTTACAATCACATCTAGGATTTTCATTGGACATCTCAGCATCACAATTAACATAAGCTAGAATTTGCAGATAAGAAAATAAGCTATAGATGTTTGTGAATAAAGGAATAAACAAAGAGCCAAAATTGTCCTGTATTCTAGTAGAACATCATGTAACTATCCTATAAACACAGAGACAGGAGACTGACTCTTTTTGCTATACGATCAAAAACACCGGCTATATTTTAAAACGAGGCTCACAGGCAGCTCTCCACAGTCACTTGTGCTGTTTTGATTTCTGCCTATTTCTAAAGAATCAATGCAAGGACCAATTACTCTGTTTCCCCCAAAATAAGCCCCAGTTAAGTGAAACCCCACCCTCCCCCCTTTTGCAGCAACCAGAAGAAGATGGTATGACTGTATTTGAATAAACGTAGATTGTTGTACATGAAAAAAAATAAAACATCCCCTGAAAATAAGCCCTAATGTCTTTTTAGAGCAAAAATTAATATAAGACCCTGTCTTGATTTTGGGGAAACATGGTATAAACATTCCCAATAGCATCTGCTGGAGATAACCATCCTTGCTTCCTGAAAGCCTCAAGAATTATTTTTCCTCTGATGTTTTATGTTTGGCTCCACCCCTGCCACATATATTATACAAAAACCTGGTTTGTCATATTTTATTTTTGCCAGCCTAAAATTTTATCTCTTTTTGAGCCAAAGCTCCCTGATTTTTCCTTTCCTCCTTCTAATCTAAGTCTTCCACAGGCAATCTCTTCAGCACTGAACATATCTAACTATGCAAACTTCCTTTGTGAGGAATTAATCTTTTCAGCTGATGCATGGGAGCATTACTTGCCAGAATATTCTTAATTTCTTTCCTTAAACCTCACCACTTCCTGCAACATGAGCTTAACTAGATGTCTGTAGATGTTCAGACTCTGCCATTTGTATCAAAACCTTTCAGGTAATTTTGGTCATCAAGGCACATAAAATAAACTTGCTGTGACACAGACGTAGGAAGGTTGCTTTGCACATGTAGCTCTAGATGTATAGAACTGCAGTGATTTATTCACCTGTGGAAAACATTTGAAACATGGACTGTTCTTTAAGTGCAATTAAAATGTTGCACTGTTTACATAGTCCCTTTTCTTACAAACAAACAAACAAAATGGCAGGTCAAGTCCATTTAGATATCCACAAAATCAACTGGAATTCTAAGTGGTGTTGGAATAAATCCCTCAGAAGTGATATTTTCATGCGATACATAGGAGTTCCTAAATTATATAATACAAATATTCTATGGAACATGTTCCACAGAATTGTGGCTAAGTACATTAAAATCCAGCAGAGGGAGCAAGACTTATTTTCAGGAGCTACAGAGGTTCCATAATGCTTAATCTTTATTCCTATGCATTCATGATTTCTCTTTGAGAAACATTATGTAGAACTAAATAGAAAAACATTGCACAGAAGAAATAAGAGCTTCTGTCATGAAAGCAGCCATGCTTGTGCCAAAGGCAGTTTTGAAAAATATATGCATAAATCTATAATCCTTGAACTATTTCTCAGATATTGAAAAGTAAAATACTTTTAATGAGGTGAGTAAAAGCGTGCAATTAGCAAGCAGAGAGTTTCTTTTCCTAAGACAGCACAATGTATAACAAACTGCCTACAGCACCAATTTTCAAGCTAACTGCAACTTGTATTCTGTAGTCACTCTGGTAATTGGTATTTCTTCCCCGCACTGAATTAACAACTTAATGGTAGGGCAATTTGTGAAAAAAAAACACAGCAAAATCTCAAAGGTCCCTTGCTGTTGTCCTAGAGGTATCTGAAATAAAGTACTGGCTGGGTGGAAAGACTATTATGCCCAGATAGGAACTATACATTACAACTAACTTTCAGACTAAAAGAACAGCAGATTAGCCTTGCAAAATTTAATGCAACCAAATAGATTTGACCCGTTTGGAAGAAAACCCTTCATTTACTCAAGTGAACAAGAAAGGAAACCACAATTATCAGATGCTTGAAAGTCAAAATAACTACTGTCCTGCGCGTTGCATTTTTGAGATTGTTTTAAAATAAAAAATGATGGGCTAAATATAAAAATGTCACTCACCGTTTTGCCTTGCAAGCTCTGGGGAGTAATAGGCTGTACACTCAGAGCTGCTGGCATCGACCTTCTGTCAGGCACAAAGACATGCTGCTATGGGAGAAAAACAAACCCGAAGACAGTGTCCATTACAATTCAGGTTGACTGTCAAAGCTTCTACAGTCAAATGTTAAGTGTAATATTTTAAATATGATTTTCCAAGTCATCTTTGGGTTTATGAAAGGTGTCCAAAGTGAAGGTGCTGGTTAATACCTTGTCAACACAAATACACTGAATCCACAGGGTTTTCACCTCAAACTTCACAAATGTCAAGAAGCCCCAACAGTCCAGAAATCACTCTCTCAACTAAAAAGGAATTGTCTCATTCATTTGCTTTTTAAAAAACACATTTGCCATACGAGAATCCAGTGCTACTCTTAGTTTCCAAGGGGAAGACAAGAAGATGAGCAAACAGGGGGGAAAAGTTATTTAATCTATAAAAATGTACATACTATTCTTCATTACTAATAAGGTAATTACATTCTAATATTAGCAAGGGAGATCACCCTTCATTAGCTGCTTTAAAAATAGTTCATTGTGCGCTCTTCTGTAAGTCACAAATTAAAGAGGGGCACAGTGCCCCCCTTTAATACATGCCTGTACTGGGTAAATACAATGGCTTGCCAGATTGCTTCCTGATCCTTGGCAAACACGTCTCTTTTTCAAATACAGAAACCATTCCTACAGTAAGTAATTAAGACTGCAGTTTTAATTTGGGAACCATTCTTGTGATTGCAAAATAATACGTGTAATGCCCTTTAACAGTCAGAGACATGAAGGCTGAATATATGTTGTACATGGAGTGAACTTCTCACACACCAGCACTTTGCAACAGGGCACAAATATCTAAACGCAGTATCTGTCAAAAAAGGGTGTATGTAACATACCTGCTGCTTGTGCCATTCCTGTATGTGGCAGCAGTGACTGGGAAAAGACTAGGTTTTCACTTTCCTTTAATGATCCTTGGCAAACATGTCTCTTTTTCAAATACAGGGAAAAGACTAGGTTTTCACTTTCCTTTATCGTAACAGCTAAGTGCAAAATGCCTTAAGAACAAGTGTGAAATGTACAATCTGCCCCCAGATATCTGCAAATAATAATAAATAGGGGATAGTGCCCTTAAACAGTGGTTCCCAATGGTGGGTAACCCAGTTGCTCTTGGATTAAAACTCTCAGATACCTTCACCACTAGCTGTACTGGCCAGGGTTTAAACAGTGGTTCCCAATGGTGGGTAACCCAGTTGCTCTTGGATTAAAACTCTCAGATACCTTCACCACAAGCTGTACTGGCCATGGTTTCTGGGATTTGTAGTCCAAGAACATCTGGAAAGCCAAGGTTGGAACAACTGCCCTAGAGTATGAAACTGTAGTATGGATTCTAGCTCCCATTTTGCCGTCTGTTGATTTTTAAAGCAATCTATACTCTTCGCTAAGTCCTTGACCCAACCTGCAGGCACACATTCATATCTTCAAGGGGCATGTCCAGAAAAGTGAGATTTGTCCAAGCAAGTAAGTGTTCTTCCTTCCTCACAGAAATAGGCCTGTCCAAGATGCACAGGATTTGACGAATTTCTGTTCCCCAATTCAGTGCTCTTTAAGAGTAGCACTGGATTCTCGTGGACCACATGGGTCCTCATCCCAATACAGAAAGAACGGTTTCCCATTATTTGCTCCATTTCATGATAGCAAGTCAAAGATTTGCCTACAAAAGCCCCATTTCTTACCTTTGAATGGTGCGGCCTATGTCTGCGGTCAATTGTTACATCTCCTCTTTGCACGGGGGAGGAGACTTCGGACCTGTAGTTCCTCTGAGGTGAATAGCCTTGGAAACCTGCTATTGAACCATGGGAAGGTGATGTGGGAATCAAATGCATTGTTTGATCAGCTATATTAATCATGGTTTTGGGACTACTTAAAGTACCGTGTCTAGTAAGAGTTGTTTGCTTATTGTAAAACTGCCGCTGTTGCCATTCGTAGAGTTGCCACATGGTATCATCCCGCATGGATCTCCTTTTGTCGTCAGCTGGCAATGTGCCAAGGGTCTTGTCATACATCGATGGCGTTACGCTGCAGACACTTTCTGGCCTGGTTTTGGTGTTTCTTGGCAGAGTTCGATAACCTTCTGGATACCGAGGTACAACTTGGGCTCGGTGGCTTGGCATGTTTCTTGGTAAGGTCTGATAGGAAATGATGCTGAAACAAAAAATCTTCAGTAATTCAAGAGATAAGTAGCCATGGAAATAACCGGCACATAATTTTTGAAAAAGAAATTATTGAAATAATAGTCTAAGTATGAAAATTATAATATTGGGCAGAAATAGAGTGGCATTTCTGCTGTGGTCTTAGTTTACCAACGCAGCAGTGATGACACAAGGGTTGCAACATACAAATCTATACATTATAGGCCTCTTTTCAAGTACACAGTGCAATACTTAACAGATACACTGGGTATAATTTTTCAGATGAAATTATCTGTTCTAGGGAAAATTATTATCTTTAGACTGGCTAGAAATACAATATAAGATGCAGTTAAGATCTGACTGTTCACCTACTGATTTTCCTTTACAAATCATATTTCCTTTGGCTGTCATATAATAAAGTTTCACAGAAATGACCTTATATAGTCAAAAACTATGATCTTCTAGCTATGAAAAAAACACCACATATGAAAATACAAATCATCAAATGTTTACATATCAAATGTTTACATACTAATAATTTTTCTTGATAATTAGCACTGCACCTGACTTGTACAGAGTAAGAACATATTTATGGTGGTGTTAGACACTAAACCCCTCGGGTTTTAATCGCACATTTTATTGACTGCAACTATTGTTTTCTCCACAGTGTGGCATAAAAATAAGAACATATCTACAATAAAAATAAGACTCAGCTGACCTTCAAGCACAGCTACATATTCAAAACTTTGTAACAGAAATCTAACAAAATAGTTTTGAAGAGGGTAAATAGCAATAGTTCTCTGCTGCCAAAGTATTTTTTTAACATGCAGCTCGTTTTAAGCAAATTATCTCTAATTTTCCAGAGCACCATGAAATCATGCTCAAAGGCGAATGCTAATCAAACTGATAGGAGAGCACCCCACTCTTTCACATGCAGCTGTGAAGACCATCATCAATCTTGTTCTGCTACTTCAGAGGAGTGGGTGAACTTAGGGGATGGGGGGGCAAGTTTGTCTTCCAGACACCTCTATGGGATGCGCAAAGCCCAAAATGACACGTTTTGACTATGAAGGAAGGAAGAGAGGGAGGGAGAGAGGGAGGAGGGCAAGAAGTGAAAAATGCTGCTCCTCAGTCATCAAGGACCCTTGACTTACAGACGGCTTGACTTACAGACTTTTTGAGTTCCAGACTTCTCTGGCCGCAAAATTTAGGTTTGAGTTGCAGTCTGAGATTTGACTTACAGACCAGAAAAAAACCAAAATGGAACAAAAACGGCCTGTTACGGGATTAATCGGTTTTCACTGCACTGTAGGTCAATGGAGACTTGACTTACAGACTTTTTGAGTTCCAGACTTCTCTGGCCGCAAAATTTAGGTTTGAGTTGCAGTCTGAGATTTGACTTACAGACCAGAAAAAAACCAAAATGGAACAAAAACGGCCTGTTACGGGATTAATCGGTTTTCACTGCACTGTAGGTCAATGGAGACTTGACTTACAGACTTTTTGAGTTCCAGACTTCTCTGGCCGCAAAATTTAGGTTTGAGTTGCAGTCTGAGATTTGACTTACAGACCAGAAAAAAACCAAAATGGAACAAAAACGGCCTGTTACGGGATTAATCGGTTTTCACTGCACTGTAGGTCAATGGAGACTTGACTTACAGACTTTTTGAGTTCCAGACTTCTCTGGCCGCAAAATTTAGGTTTGAGTTGCAGTCTGAGATTTGACTTACAGACCAGAAAAAAACCAAAATGGAACAAAAACGGCCTGTTACGGGATTAATCGGTTTTCACTGCACTGTAGGTCAATGGAGACTTGACTTACAGACTTTTTGAGTTCCAGACTTCTCTGGCCGCAAAATTTAGGTTTGAGTTGCAGTCTGAGATTTGACTTACAGACCAGAAAAAAACCAAAATGGAACAAAAACGGCCTGTTACGGGATTAATCGGTTTTCACTGCACTGTAGGTCAATGGAGACTTGACTTACAGACTTTTTGAGTTCCAGACTTCTCTGGCCGCAAAATTTAGGTTTGAGTTGCAGTCTGAGATTTGACTTACAGACCAGAAAAAAACCAAAATGGAACAAAAACGGCCTGTTACGGGATTAATCGGTTTTCACTGCACTGTAGGTCAATGGAGACTTGACTTACAGACTTTTTGAGTTCCAGACTTCTCTGGCCGCAAAATTTAGGTTTGAGTTGCAGTCTGAGATTTGACTTACAGACCAGAAAAAAACCAAAATGGAACAAAAACGGCCTGTTACGGGATTAATCGGTTTTCACTGCACTGTAGGTCAATGGAGACTTGACTTACAGACTTTTTGACTTGCGAACCGCCTTCCAATACGGATTAAGTTCTCAAGTCAAGACCCCACTGTATGCACAAATTGTTTGTAGTAGAAGAAGCTCTTGGTGTGTTCAACTGTAGGACACCAGGAAGCCCTCCTTACCCAAGAACCATGCATTGCTTACTAAGACACATTTACACAGAACAATGTAACACAAAAGCCAGGTACACTTTATTCACACAATGGGGGATGGATGCTTCAGGCACACAAACTCCAACAACAGCAACAACAATTATAATGTACTTGGGTTGATTCTGACTTATGGGGACATCTTCCAGGCTTCTCTAGGTATACAGTACGGAGAAGTGGTTTACAGTGCTCTTCTTCCGGGGGGCACCCTGGAACTGTACAGCTTGACTAAGTCTACAGAGAATACCCTCTTCTCTCAGGAGGCAGACTGGAGAACCGAACTCTTGACCTTTGACCAGGTAGATACTCAGGTTGGTGAGCTCTCCAGCTACAAATGCAAATATCCCTGATACGTTTTTCTCTCTTCTTCTGATTTCCTTGCCTGCCTCTCCAATGCCTGGCAAAGGGAAGGAGGGAGGTAGTACAGACACTTCACAGCACTGAAGCATTTAACCCATTTAGCAGAATTCACTAGACAGCAGTTCAAGTTGCACCGTGAATTTCCACTCTGCTCTTGCCTGAATCCTTCTCGCTGCAGCCAAGGCTCATTCATTTTCAAGGACTTGAAGGAAGACAACCAGTCTACTGTATTTACAAAATTGAAGAGGACATCTCCCTGTTAACATCTTTTCCTGCTAGTAAGCAAGTTAGGAATGTAGGAACATACAAAACGGCCACATCCTGAATCAGACCATTGGTCTATCTAGCCCTGTACTGCCAACTTGGAATGGCAGCAACCATTGTCCCATCTTTCCAAGCAAGATTCTTTCCTAAGCCCTACTGGGAAATCCCAGATATTCCTTGGCACTCTCCCTGCTGAGTAATAAGCAGGACTGAGCTGGCTGTCTTCTGAAATCAGACAAGATTAAAGTATTCAGAGAGGGGTGGTGATTGTGCATTGGGAGGAGGGGTATGGTGGCAGGTGGTTTCTAAGGTGTTTGCTCCTTCTGCCTCCATAAGAGATAGGTGGTTTTGCTGTTCTTTGCCTGTTCAAGCCCCTGAACCTTACCGCTTATGACTTGGAAGAAGTGAGTGGTTGCTAAGGGAAGGGAGGCAGATGAAAATAGGAGGCAGAGGGAAAAGAAGTTATAGAGGATGCAAAGTGATATAGCTGAATTGAGTCCCGGTTCTTGCAGCTGCCGGGTACAAACGACAACCATGCGAACTCTGAATGCTGCAAGTTGATTTCAAGCTATGGAAAGGTAGAGTAAAAAGCAGCTACAATATTTGTTTGTTTGTTGTTCCATTAAAATGCATGAGGTATTACACGATTAGCACTGGGGTGGGGATTGATCCCTCTATCTCACTCTCACTATTTATGTTTTATTGGCTTTCCTAAAATTAATTACATTGCTTTCAGTACGTAGTATACATTAAAGTTTAATATACCAGCACTTAAGCATAGAGAGGGGGAAAAAACATTTATTCCAAACCAGTAAACAATGGTAAAACCCCTACCTTTCTCTTTTACAAATTAGCTTTAAGCAATGCAATCACTTCTAAGTATATGGCCTATGTTAACAATTTCATCCATATTTAACTAACAAGATGTTCTCTATGATCAAGAGGATTTGGATCCTGCCAGTTAATGTTTCGTTAACAGCTTTAGCCATTATAACTCCAAGAATGGAATGAGTTTGTTCTGGAATACAGCCAATGTAATAATACTGTGACAAAAGCTGAAGAAAGAATTCAAATGGGTAGATGCACAGTTTCTACGTTCGTTTAAACTGAAAACACAAACCATTTAAATGCAGACATAATGTGATAAAATTCTATTTGCAAATGCCTAAATCAGTCAGTTTTTATGTGACATGCTCTGTTCTGTATCATGAACTGGCTGCATCTAACACTGAAGGGGATGGGACTGTGGACTTGCCCATTCCCTCCTCTCCCTATATGTGAATTTATTCCTCTTTCTTTTTTACTTCTGTACTAAAGTAGAGCACGGTTTACTGCCAAGGCAGGAAGCTGGCTTTCAAATCCCAATTAAAGCTAGCCACAGGTAGTGTCCAGCATCAGAGCAGAAAAAAATCTATACTGATTGTTAACTCTAAAAGGGGACAGACAGAATGCTGTTCATGAGAGGAAATATGGTGTGAAAGCACACAATACCCTCCCACTTCTACTTCTGTCACAAGACTGGAAATGTTAAGTCTGTACTAAATCTGAATTCTGTCACAAGCTTTCTCTGTTTCACATTTTTAAATGCAAAACCTAGTACATCAAAAAATAAACAGCACCCTCTACATCAGTGGTTCTTCAGGTGTTTTTGGACTGCAACTCCCAGAAGCCTTCACCACCAGTTGTGCTGGCTGAGGTTTCTGGGAGTTGCAGTTCAAAAACACCTGAGTAACCCAAGGTTAAGAACTACTGCCTTACATGACAATCTATAACAAATATTCCACAGGAACACCACCACCACCAGCAGCAGGAACGTATTATGCTCCGCCCATGCTGCTTTGTAGAATCCCCATGTTGTATTAACCAGGGACTGTCTGATTCCAGTGAACAGGGCTTACATCTGCAAAAGGAAATCCTGGATACATTGCGCAGAAGTGAGACACCCCCCCAACGGTCTTCAGAATGGACCATTGCATAAATGCTACCAAGAAACAGGATTCTGCTCCCTACTGCTAACTATGCAGTTTAAAATTACATTCTTGTTCTCAAACTACTCAAAACTGACTTCAACAACTGAATCTATAGGATGCTGTTTTAATATTAATATTTTATTATTTTATTTTCTTGTTCTCTTTTTTGTATGATTTTTTTTTTGTTTTTACTCGCCATATCGTTGTCTATTTTGTGATATGGTGTCTGTGAAATTTTTAGCTTATTAACTGCCCAGAGTAGTGCTAAATGGGGCAGTATACCTACCTACCTACCTAGCTGCCTGCCTGCCTGCCTGCCTACCTACCTACTAAATAAATAAATAAATTCTATCCCAGACTTTGCTTACCCATGGCCAGAATTTCAGTCTGTCAGTGAAAGATTTACTGTATATAGGTTTTGGCAAACTTCATCAATACTGCCTGGTTTTCAATATGTATTTTTTAAAAAATTGACATAATTAAACTGGGACTGCCAGTGTTGTCTCTTATTATCATCCTGTTTATCTGATGCATTTTCTCTTCTACTACTCAAGACAACACATGTTACAAAACAACAACGAAAAACAAACGCTAAGCTTGCTGCTAAAGTTGGGAGCCAACTGTAATCCATTAGTAGAGCAGGACCCCTGTATCTGCAGAGGATCTGTTCCAAGCCCCTTGCGGATGGAGAACAACACGGATTATAGAGGATGCTGTTTTACTAGCTAACATTACAAAACATGGTCTTTGGCTCCCTTTAAGTGGCACGTTCTGGTCACTTTTAAAAATATATATTTCTAGGATTTATCTTTTACTATTTTTAATATTTTCACACCATGGATACGTGAATCAGCAGATACTGAACCCGCGAATAAATGGGCTCTGCTGGACAAGGCGAAGAAAACTTGGATGTATAGTGAAAGCAGTACAATGTACAACATTCATTTTGCAAAGAAACAAAGACAGATTTTTTTTTAAAAAAAGGTTCTAGACATTAGAAGACACTTTAGTGTGCACACATTTAATATAAATGTATGTCCCAGGTAGATTTGTGACTATTTGACTTTTTGACTTTCAAGGTGAACATGCAGAAGTCAGAAGAAAACCAGACCATGTAAAACTTCTAGAAAACAGCTAATGCAAATTAATCTATATCCTCTTCTTCTTGGAAGTTCAACTGAAATGTATACTTTCATTTTTAAAAAAAAAACACCTTTTAGACCACGGATAAAAAATGGTATGTTGACACAACCTTTTTAAAAATAAAAATGAAATTTAAAGTTCATCCTGGTTATCTGAAATTTGATTTCGGATGGAAAAATTATACATTTAAAAAATTAGGTTAACATTAAATGAACTAGATATAAGGATTCCCCCTCCTGCCATTTTCCAAATGATTTGAATCATTTGGTTATAAGATATGAAGTATCAGTGAGAAACTCAAGTTAAATTGGCCTTTTTTTCCTTGCTGACTGACACCGATCTACATTCTTGTAGTGACATTATGCCATGAAAGATTCATTTAAAGTGAATTGCAGGAACATAATATTGCATAAAAAAGCATTATGGAAGCAATATCGCTCTGCCTTTTCTTATGCAGAACTACATTTCTCATCCTCACTAGACTTGCAGTGCCAATCATGCAGAGATTCTAAAAGCGTTTAGTTCTCTAAAAAAGTACTTGAAATATACTGCTGACATATTCCTGTTCTTGTGTATTTATTTCTGAAAAAACTGAATGAAGAAAAAAACACTGTCAATTCCATAACACTGATTTTAAATGATTCCATGGACCAGTTACTGAACTTTAACAATTTTATTTTAAATGATTTACATATTAGAGAAGGTCTCTAATGTGTCAAAAATTAACAATTAAAAAAAAATTAGGTCACTAATATGTCTCCTACAACATATAATCCAAACTAGTAATCTGGAAGGCAGCAAATGTGTCATTCATTCCAGTTCCTTCCCTTAAATATTCTTCAACAATATTTTCATGACATAACTTGTGTCAAATACTGTATGAAAAAATATTTGCTACTGAAAAAAAATCATTGCCCCATTGAAACACATTTTGTTGGCAATTAAGTTATACTCAGTAGTAACACATTTATCCTGCCTTTCCACCAATGAACTCAAGCAGTGCATTCACACTTTTCCCCCACCTCAATGCCATATGTACAGATGGGCATGAACCACCGAACCAGCAGTTCATTTTTCAGCTGACCAAGTGTTTGGTGCTTCTTAGCCCTGCCTTCTCCAGTGGATGCCTATTCAGGGGCAGCACCACTGGGGTGTTGCTTCTGAGTGGGCGCCTACTGGAGGAGGCGAGGCTGGGAGGTACTGAAGACCTGGTCGGCCAAAAAGCAAACCAGCATGAACTGCCAGTTTGGTGGCCTGTGCCCATTTATAGGTGTGGTAACTCAGAATCAGGCAGACTGATTAGCTCAAGGTCATCCACTGAGTTTCATGGCTCAGTGAGGATCAGAACCTAGGTCTCCTAATCCTAGATCATCACCCTAATTTCTACATGACAACAGATCTATACAGTTACAGCCTCAGCATGGAATTATGTAGGCTTGATAGACGAAACCCAAATTTGACTCCCAGCATCACCAGCAAAAGTGGAAAAGACCACTATCTGCGTGAGAAAAAAAAGTGGCCAATTTTTTTAAAAAACAGTTTTTGAGGAACCTTAGTTCTGCTAGGCACCCCAAAACATGGCAAGATCACTTCCCGATAAGAGGGTATGACGGGGCTTTTGGAGCAATTTTTATTTTTTAATGGTGAAATGTGGATATTGAGAAGCTGAATTCTGGAGCAATGCGGTTGGCGTACCTCTGATCTAGGCGAAGGAGTGAGACGGAACAGTAGATGGGTATACAAAACGCCTTTCAAATCATTGGGCTGTCACACTTAACCATTATTTACCACCACTCCAAAATCTGTGGGAGGTATTATATAAATCAAAACTCATCTAAGTATTAGATAGATTATGTTTGAACGCCTGTATCAATCAGTAAGCAAACTAATACATAGTCTCTTCAAGACTCCTCCGGAGAGTCATGAAAATTTTTTACAGTAGCATTTATTTATTTGCTTTATTTTTCTGCTGTCTTCCTCCTGGTGAAGGTACCCATGAAACTGAAGCACAAGCACAAGGAATGCAAAAGTACAAATTGCAATTACTCACCCTCTCGTTTCTTCATCTTGCCCCTTTCCCCTCTGTATTTTAATCCACTGTTCCAACTGCAGCATGGAATTAGTTCTCTGAATGACACGTTCAGATTCTATGTGTGAGTGAATAGTGTTGTGATGGATTCCATCTCCAACATCTCCCATAATAAGGTTGACAGCTTTCTCAGACCCATTTAAATGAATGGGCCGATAATGTCCGGGCGGAACTGAGCTTACTGGCAAGGTCCCGTACTCGGAATTCTGTTTCACACTGTTGATTTTGGTTAAGGGTCTATCACGCCCAACTTTTTGAAAACCGTATTTTTCTGCTTCTAAGGCCTTTTTGTCTTCTCCTCTGTTCACTTCTCTGTTTCGCTGATTATTCTGTGCCTCTGGTTTAATTAGCACCCGGTGGTTTGCAATGTTATTAACTTCCCGAGGAGGTGTATTTTCAGCAGTTATCTTATCTACTCTGAAAAAAAGAAAAGAAAAAGAAAATGCACTTGAGAACAACATCACTAAAAATATGCTGAAAGAGGTACAATTTCCTCTGTCTAAAAATATCCCATTTCTTTACCACTGAGGGTCTCACAGCATTTACAGGCAACACAATCGTATCAAATACAAGTTCACAGCCCTTAGCAGAAGTGTTGAACTCTAAATCCAATCTGATGTAATTAATATCCAAACAGAAAGGCAGCCTCGGTGACAGTTTAATCACTCTGCTTGAACACCCTCTGATTCACACTACCTTAGAAAGATAAGGGAGAGGAAGGGCTGGCTCTGATAAGCCTATTGCCTACACATAGTGGAGGAGTAGGACTGCTTTACCATCCCACTCTGAGCCCCTTCCCCAAGTTTATGACTATCCAGGTACTGGCATCTCATTTCCAGCACGTATAGCCCTTTTCACATGATGATTGCATGAAGGGGCAACATGTACAGAAAAGAGGAGACAAACCAAATTGCAAGTTCCATTCTGACATAGCTGTCATCTGTCCTGCCTTAGATGTAACTATTTGCAGTTTATAGCTATAGATCTCAATCTTTGGAAGTTTCCCTGGGCCATAAGTGATCACGGTTCCAGATCCCCGGGCTGTGAATCTACATAGAAAACTATGTGTTGATGCTCGGGTAGAGGAAGCACACGCATAATATCTTTAACTTCACAGCACATGATCCAAAACAGAAACAAAATCTATTGTGACATTTTTAAGACTACCCAATTTATTGTAGTGTCAGCTTTTATGGATTACAGTCCTCTTCTTCTGACACACTGAAAGCTCTCGCTGAAATAAATCTGTTAGTTTTAAAGATGCCACGACACTTTCTTTTTGTTGAATTGGACCAACACATGTTCAAAATGCTATGTACAATCCGAGAACTGTAACCTAGATTGGGGGGTGTAATTGGAGCCCTCAAAACTTGACTTTTTCAAGCTATGATTTAGGCTTATATACTTTGGAATTTTTATATACAAGTGTCATGAAAACAGGATGCCTGAAAGCAGAAATACAGCCAGTCTGGAGGCCACCCCGAACATATGCAAACACCATGTTTGTCAAGATGGGCCCAGAAGGGTCCCCCAATTCTATCCCACAGACTGAATTCTTTGATTTATAGAAGATGTACAGGAGGGGGACTTCTCAGTTGCTAGTTCTTCTTCAGCTCTCATTCATGACATTAATTTCTTGCACATTCAACACTTTTGTATTCCTAGGTCATCTTATAACTAGGCCATTTTATACAGTGCAATAAGATCCAGTAATAAAATCCAGAACACTCAAACAAAATGCTGCAGCAGCAACTTGAACCATAAGCTAGCAGAGAAAAAAAGACCACGGGTACCTACCACTGCTGAAATTCTATATTCTATATTATTCTTTTAAAAAGAAATAGATAAATACACTAAATTCAATTTGGCAACTGCAAGGGAATTTTAAAAACCTTGATAGCAAATTTCTCTGATTTTTTGATGCTGGAAAATCACAATCTGTGACTTCTTTTAACAAACCCAAACCTCTGGAACCGTGATTCATTTTAAGCCAAAGTCTTCTCTAATGGAGCTTCTATGCAGTACTGACGGTCTCACAGGTTCCTGATGCCAGCGGTTTCAGCATATAAAGAGGAACAGATTCTATTTTAAACTCCACATGGCCACCAACATCATCAATTTAATTCAGTTGGTGGTAGTTCATGTCAGTTATTATTCATCTTTTGGAAACCACTTGTGGCTTCTGTAATTACGGCAGATGAAATATTTGCTGACTTGAAACTGTGGTGTAAAATAATTGTACCCTTTCTGAGGCTGCAACAGCTGCACAGTTAGCACATTTCCCCACAAGAAATCCAGATGCTGACAGATCAAGTAATTTTCTTACATTCTTCTTTTCTGTACTGTTTCCAGATCAGCAGCTCAATATTCTCTCCAATTTCAGTCCCACATCCTACTGGCTTCTACTCCCTCATACCAATCACCATTACTCATGTCCATTTTGCCATCTAGTTCTTGCCCTTCCATTTTTGATTACTATCTATTTTTCTCCACTCGTGAAAGATCTCTCTTCCTCACATCATTTTTTTTTAAATTCAACTGCCAATGGAATTTCATTTCCATTTTACACATCAGGGGCAAAACTGGAGAATTTTGTGGAAAAACTGTTCTCCTTGCCCAATGATGTTTTCTGAATTTATTCTGAACTGCAAAATTAGAAATTTGGGGGAACACTGAAAATAATCATATAATTTTTCTTCCTCTTTTGGAGTTAAATGCTACAGTATAAATGCAAGGATTAATTCACTGAAAGTGTATAGTGTGAATTTTTTATGTAAGACACTACAACATTAGGTAAAGGTTCCTCTTTTGTTTCTGTTCATGGGGTTTTCTTGGCAAAGATACTGGAGAGGCATGCCAGTTCCTACTCCAGGTGGATTGCGTTTAGT